AGTTATCTAGACATGAAAATTAAGCCCACAAATTGCTACGATAATTCGAAGCCTAACTGAATAGAAGCTGACATCTTGATAACAATACATTGAAGTATCCAACCACAATTGAAGTCACAATAAAACAGGATACAAAATCAGGTTTCTAATCAGACTGAAATGCTAATAGTAATACAAATGTGAGATACTGGAGTCCGTCTGTTGTAGTTATTTTATGTATCCTTAATAGCTTCCATGAAATTGTTTTTCTTATTCAAGTCACCTGATAAGAGTTTTGAATAGGGGTTTTTGAGTGCAGGGATATAAATAGAGTCGAAAGGGTTAGCTTATCAATGGCAAAGTTGTATCATCCATAACGATATTTGCATTTCATTGATATGGAAATGAGCCAATAGAAACATTCCACACGATACGATGAATGGAAGTCTGGAAATTCCCACAGAAAAACTACGGGACTACAACTGTTATCGTTGTTATCAGGGTGGCGGAGGGAAGATCCTACAAGTATCTGTTATTTACTTCTCAGAAACACCAAACAAGATCCACCCACACTGAATTAAAGATTATTCCCAGAATGGTGTCCCAGAATAACCGTGCTGTTTGGCTATAGGCCTATGGTTGACCAGGGTTTCCGTGATTTGTACCTGTTTGATTCTCATCCTTGAGCTGTTAATCCTACAGATTACAGTACTGGAGGGAACAAACACGTCTTCTTTTGTGTTCGTTAGAATGTTAACACGTTGTGTTGTGGTTCACAGCTAGGCTTCGATTGTCTGCACCTTACGACTAACCCCTAATTAGTCGCCTTGTACGAAAAGCTTGTTAGGGAGGATCCTTTATCCCTCAAAATGGGCACAGAAACCCGCAAGGGGACTGTGATTGGTTCTAGAGGTGAGGTACAGACGCTGACGCTGGACTGGACACTCGCTGAAAAATGAGTGATAATATAACTAGAATATTCATACACTGGCACTCACATGGAATTAGTAGAGAATTAGTAAAGATGATTAATATGGCCTGGAGAGGATGAGGCACCTGGGTGTAACCAGAGGGTCTGGCCGGCTCACCACACTCAGAGGAAAGGCAAGACAGACATATAACCAGATTGTGACCGGAACCATCAGTATTGGAACTTTTCGCAGGCTGCTAAAGATAAGGAGCTCGCGTGGGAATGCCCCGAGTGCGGTAATGTCAATTCTTGACTCAACTCAACTCACATGGGGAAAGAAATAATGGGCAACTGTAAAAACCTTCAGAGACTGCAGGGACAAAGAGGAGCAGATGGAGGCTACATCGGGTATACTGTACGAGTTGGCAAGGAACTGAAGGCCTTGGTGCGAGTTTGTTGAAGGCAGGGCATCGGAGCCTGGGAGTTTAGGACCCTTTAGGCTCACTGCCTCACTCCGAACAGTTTTAAGAATGGGGAGGGGAACTATTTGAAGGGGGTTAGGTGACTGTCTATACAAGGTCTTTCTTTTTTTTTTTTTTAAGCATTTGTTTATGCATTCCGTATTATTTCATATTCCATTTTATATGTATTTACCCCCAGCCCAGTTTTATTACTATTGTTATTATTAGTATTACACAGGCTTCCTTTTAAACTCGTGTAAAGGAGCTGAGATCTCACCCCACCCCTCCCCAGGTTGTGTTCTCAACCCGCCTCCAACAATGTTTCCACTGTGTCTGCGAACCTGCTTGAGAGAATTTGCTACTCTGATTAATGAATGAACAAAATAATCAACAAATGAATTCACTATAATCTGGACATTCCCGCGAGTGATCTGTTTCCTCCAAGTATTGGGACAGCTAGCGCCCCTCTTACAGCATAAGACAATCCCAATCAGCACAAAGAGACATTCAAAGCATATTTATTCCAACTCTGTGCTACCAGTGCCAGACATGGTCACTCACAACAAACCATAAAAGAAAATTAGTAACCATGGAAATGAGATATCTGAGAAGGGCTGTAGGAGTGACCATAAGAGATAAGATCAGGAATGAGATCATAAGAGACAACGTCGGCACAGAACCAATTCTAAATTACATACGAAGACAGCAAGTGAAATGGTTTGCCCACTTAGAGAGAATGCCTTGTGACACCATACAATACAAAGCATACATGGAAAGAGAAGAAGGTCGTAGAGCAAGAGGTAGACCAAGAACAATATGGAAGAATAACATCAGAGAAGCTCTACAACAGCACGATGTGCCTATGGTCGAGGCGGACAGAAGAGCTAGAAACAGAACCTTATATCTCCCTCGACACCCACGGCGGTAAAAGAGGAAGTGAAGAAGAAGAAGAAGGAGAAGATCTGTTTCCTTCCTTGGTAGCCAACCATGAATCGACATGCTAATATTACCAGTTGCAACTTCATTAAAAGTTCGCCCACATTTCCCCCTAAGTCTTGATTATCTTATAGTATCTCTGTTTACCCCCAACCCCCCAACCCCCCCCCCCCTTTTCCATCACCCCTTCTTCCTGCCCCAGTTCCCACTGAATTAGTCTTGCCAATTACTTCTTTATGATACCACTTTTGCGATGTATGCAGAGGGTCTTTGAGTCTGAGGATTTACGGTCGCATGGCCAGTGCTGTCGCCACGACTGTGTAGGTGAGGATTTTATTTTGCCTCCGACAGAAAAAAAATTACCAGCCTTTCCGAGGATTCGAGCCCGCTCCTTCATTGCGTCCGCTTTATCATAAAGTAGCTCACCGCTCAGAGGAGCTGCAGTCGCGTTTATCACTCCCCTAATTACCCTGTACACAAAATATCCTTGACCCAAAAAAAAAAGCTAAAAGAAAAAGAAATCGTCCAGTACCTGTTAACCTGTAGGACAATGGTCATCGTGACCCGCACTGGAATTTATACCCTTAAAACATTAAAGGAAACCACAACCCTTTGTGAACAGATGGAAAACTAACTGAGGTCCTCTGTATTTGTTCTTCTTACACCGTGTATGTTGCAGGTAAACTGAATCCCGCGCAATCGTTTGTTTTAAATGGGTAAACGTGAAATGTAAAAAACCAGATGGCAGATAATGTTTACCCGTGACTTCTGTGACGCAGTTGGTGACCTGTGCAGACGAATGACAATGAGATGGTTTCAACTGGGAAGAAAATGGTTGCGGGTCGACTTAATTAGAGCTATTCCAGCCATTCGGTTGTTACTGTGAGCTAAACTGTCCTAGCGGATGATTATTTTGACCTAAACTTTACAGCTACTGATTATTTTAGCATAAACTGAAGCGGTTCTTGTTCATTTTGACCTAAAATGCACCATATGTTGACTATTTTGACCAAATTTACCCCATCTGCTGATCAGCAAGACCTAAACTCTTGCCGTTCCTGGTTGTTTTGACATTAATCGCCCAGCATGTTGAATAGTTTGACCCCAATTTTCCAGTTGCTGCTGATTATTTTAACCCAGATTATCTTGACATAAATTGTCACAGTTCCTAAATTTTAACATTCACACAAGGTGTCACAATTGCTAATTGTTTTGATTAAATCTGACCCAGTTTTTTGTTACTTAAAGGATCTCGGTTGTCTGTTACTTCGACTAGACGGTTACGAGCATTATTAGTTTCTGCTAAACTCACAAGTTATTACTGTAACTTTTTATTTTCAAGACGTCTCGAAATTCGATGTTTTATACTATATTGTGCCCAGCCTTTAATATTTTAATCTTTAGTTAGATCCGCCTTAAATATTTTACATTCGAATAACCAGACCCCCCCCCCCCACCACTTTACCCCCACCCCATATAATAGGATGCCGGTACTCATCAGGAAGTATTTATTACAGTAGCACTGGGGGAAAAAATTATCCCCTAACAAAGGTGCTGGTTCCTCGTACTGTTGCGTACCCCAGAGAAAAAAGACTGCATCCAGCTATTATCCCCGTGTGGGTACCGGGGGACCCAGTGTGGGTGAACAAAAATGAACCCATTTCCCCGAGCATGTCGTAGAGGGTGAATAATTAGAGGTTTGTTAATATCGGATAAATGAGGCCGAAAGCGTACATATCGCAGCCTATTCGTAAACCACAACGCAATGTGTCAGCCACCATTTTAAGGGTGAAACGCAGAAGAATCGTCGCGATTATTGTAAAGCAAAGTTAAGGATAATGTTTACGCCAATGGTACTTCGGACACTGTTCCGTGCGGTAGATTTCCTCAGTACGGTGTAAGTGTTCGAGATCAAAGATTCAAACTGTATTTTTATATCCCTATTTATGCCGCCTCTCCTCCTTACTGTGCCGCCTGATGCGGTCGCACCTCTGTATCATAGAACGCCACGGCCCTGCTTCGGACATTTGACGTTAGATCCATTTTTTTTTAATAGAACAATCAGAACCACAGATGTTAGAGGTTAACGTCAAAGTTGAAATATCGACACTAATGCAACGGATGTTCTCCAATGTGACGCGCTATCTCTCCTAATCGCACAAATCACGAACACCGTAGCTCTGGTGACCAGCACCTGTGTGTGTAAAATTGCAGTCTTGTACCGAACGACGCAGCAGTGAAATAAACCCGCAACTTACAGGACGCGAGTAAAATTACTTGACAAATTCGCCATGCAGAACCACGCACTATATGTCTATTAAGAAAAATATCACATTCTTTAATTACTCTGAGAGGTTCTGGGAGCCATTTTATGCATGATTTTATGAGAACCGCCGTTGTCTGTGGCTTAGGCGTTGAGAAGAGGGAAAATAGAACAATTTGTGACCACTGGAAAGATATGTGGAAGGAGAGATAGAGGAAGACAACGAGAGAAGATGCAGTCTTGTTGCATGGCATGGAGGTGTGTCGACACACGAACTGATACATGCTGCAGGAGATCGCAGATTATGGAGAGGCATGATCGCCCACGCTAGTCGGCAAGGCACCTGATGATGATGATGATGTTGACAGAACAGTGCACTGAAAGACAACTCTTACCACTCAAAAGAGTTCTTCAGAACATGAAGATAGATAGTTGACAGCATTGCGTCAAAATGGCGGTCTGTATACTAGCAGCCGTTGCTACTTGCGTCAAGTTGCTCTTCATTCCCGCCTAGTAAGTTATTTTTTGGGGTCTTTGTTTCAAGTTATGATTACCAAATTTTCTATCAAAGCTCTAGAAAACGCTGCATAAAGTAACTTCCTATTGCGCATTTTGCCCTGTCTGACGTGTTGCACCAAATAATACAAGACTGATCCCCCTCCCCATTTCACTTTATTCTTGACTACGTGGCTGGTATTGTTTTGATTGTGAATTTCATGAAAAGACGGCAGATGCAGATTCTCATAAAGCAGAAAACCACTGTAAAACGCCTTATTCATCACTAGAAATGTGCAGTTTTTCCCCATAGTACTACTCCATTTTAAGTCTGAGGAAGGCTGTTTGTAATTTCCTGTGTGTACACCTGTGACTGTGTATGTGTACTGCTCGCTCATTGTGATATGGGCGTGACGTGATGTTGTGTAATGTAGGAGTGGGTGTATGAATGTATAAGTGTGTGTGTATGTAGTTATGTATATATGTATGAGCTTGTGTATGACAGTCTTCTTCTACATTTCAGTCTTCTTCTATGTTGCAGTCTTCTTCTTTGTTGCAGTCTTCGGCTTTCCTTTCAACTTCGGCCGGTAGACAAACATAGACGGCCGGTTAGTCGGAGTTATGTCCCCTTGCTACAGTGCAATTACGGACTGGAGACGGCACGAATCAAACAACACAGTGGAGTCGACATGCAGACCCCGCGCTGGCACTCAAATTAGCGACCGCGTTCAATTACCGCTTCTTCCGATGCATTATGTAGTGGACTAGAGGGAACGAGACAAGTGACATAGTTACTGTGTGTCGGCGATAGACAGCGTGCAGTGCCCTAAGGTTAGGGGTAGGGTTTGGGTTAGGGTTAGGGTTTGGGTTGCTACTATGAGTTTGTGCGAAGACGAGATGCGGCGACAGCAACCTTAACCCACACCCTAAACCTAATCCTACCGCTAAACCTAACCCTAACCCTAAACCAAACCCTAACTCTACCCCTAACCCTAACCCAAACCCAAACCGTAACCGTATGCTGTCTATCGGCAACACACAGTAATTATGTCATTTGTTTCGTTCCCTCCTGTCCAGTCCGTAATTGCACTGTAGCAAGGGGACATAACTCTGACTAACCGGCCGTCGATGTTTGTCTACCGGCCGAAGTTGAAAGGAGAGCCCAGTCTTCTAATATGTTATTGTTCTTCTTGATCTGTGAAATTCTAAAAAAATGTTTTCTAAACATTATTTCCACTAGTTGTCTTTAATTGCTGTGAAATGTGAAGCACTACTAAAATAGATGAGCCTTATAACATAATCTTTGGAGGCATCAGAGAGGCATACTGTAGGGTATAGAGAATGGCAAGAAACATGGAAATTCATAATCTGTTTAAATCTGCCTTGATACCTGGCTTTATGAAGACTAATAGACTGAAATGGATGGGGCATGTAGAGAGAATGGCAGATTATGTAGAGGCAGAAATTGTGTGCACAGGGGAGTTGAATAGTCGCAGACCACAAAGCAGATTAAGAAGATGGTGGAAAAATAATATCTAAGCCAACATACAAACACTTGGGGTCACCAGCTGGAAGGAGAAGACCAGTCATACAGATAAATGTAGGTGGGTGATTTATGCAGCAGCAGCAGCAGTGAGCCTCATGTTCTCAAAATTCTGAAGAAGAAGAACATGACACATTATCTCGATATACTTTGATTTTTTTTTTTCAAATGATTGTGAAATTATTTATAATTTATAGCCGTGGCTCTTTCTGGTCAATCCAAGACATGATACATTCATGTGTCAGTCCAAGTGCAGTATACTTTTCTGACCCTTTTACAGTTTTGCAAATTGCTTAAATGTTTTTCTGCTGAATTCAGTTATTTGCATTAATTCAAGAGAGCTGGAGACATGTCTGGGCAGTCACTAGTATCAACATTTATAAGACAGAGATGCAAACTGAGACATGTCTGGGCAGTCACTAGTATCATTATTTATAAGACAGAGGTGCAAACTGAGACATGACTGGGCAGTCACTAGTATCATTATTTATAAGACAGAGATGCAAACTGAGATATGTCTGGGCAGTCACTAGGATCATCATTTATAAGACAGAGATGCAAACTGAGACATGTCTGGGCAGTCACTAGTATCATCATTTATAAGACAGAGGTGCAAATTGAGACATGTTTGCGCAGTGACTAGTATCAGCATTTATAAGACAGAGATGGAAATTACTGTACTGTTTTTCAGCCGATCCACAGATTTTGAAGTGCATAGAAACTGGCTTGCAATCACTCACAGTTTGCCCATTAAGAAATGGTATCTGGAGGTAATTACCTGTCTGTAATGTAAAAATAACGTAACTTGTGCCATGTTGAGGGTACAACTTGTTCATTGCTGGCACTTTTCCATCTTTGCTGACAATAGTGTTTCCTTGTGCTATAGGAAGGTGTGCAAAGTATGGTGATCAGGGCCTTTTTTTTTAAATAGAAAAAGACGTTGGTGCTGACTAATATATTTTGGTAATATCAAATGCCCTGGCAGATTGTAAAAAATAATAGTAGAAGGCATGGTACTAGGAGGGAGGGGCAGGGGCAGACTGACACAAAGATAGGCACAGGATATAGGTGACTTCTTGAATATGAAAGTACATGAGGTGGGAGAGCTGGCGAGAGACCGAGTTTCTTTCAGGCAGACTGTGATGAGAGCGACGTTCTGCAAAGGATCAGCTACATGATGATGACTGACCACAAAGTGTCTGTTACAGTAGTAGGGAAAATAATATGCCTGCAAAAAACAAAAACAAAAGATGCTGGTACCATTGCACACTGCCAGAAAGAAAAAAAAAACACCAGATGATGATACCGATTAAGGCTAGGGATGAAGTTCCTCCTCTCCAGGGCACAAAGCCGGGGCACTATTGTAGAGACCATGTGTTGCAATTAAGTATTAATCATGCCCAATATGGCTTGACTTCAATCATCAGACAAGAACCTGTTTCAACATGTTGTTGCTGTAGACACATATTTGTTGAATTCAAGAGGAATAAAGAAATAAAAGAAAAATCTGGGCAACCACTAGTGTCAGTAGTTGCAAGACAGAGAAGATGGGGCTATGTTGGACAGTCTGAGAAGAGATAAGCATAGAATCACCAAACAGGCAATAGAGGGATTGAGGAACCAAGGATGCCCAAAATAAACCCTAAGATGAACGTTGATGAGAGAAACCAAAGGTGCTGGACTGGATTCCATCCATGATATCATAGGAAAGAAAAGACGACGAGCTCTATGTAACATATAATGGCACGCCAGGACAATGAATTAAAAAATAGCTGTAGACAGGGGGTCAAGCTGTTTTTCAAAATATTTCCCTTGTTCATCGGGATTATCCTTGCTGCCAGGCACCCTGTCGCAGATCTCCTCTAAACCTCAAGTTAGCACACAGATTTACTTCTCTTTTAGGTTGATTTTTGTCAAATATTTTTAATGCTTTATCGCAGGCCACTTAGAGAGAATGCCTTGTGACACCATACCATACAAAGCATACATGGAAAGAGAAGAAGGACATAGAGCACGGGGTAGACCAAGAACAAGATGGAAGGATAACATCAGAGAAATTCTACAACAGCACGATGTGCCTATGGTCGAGACAGTCAGAAGAGTTAGAAACAGAACCGTATATCTCCCTCGACACCCACAGCGGTAAAAGAGGAAGTGAAGAAGAAGAAGAAGCAGGTCACTTCTTCTGATTTTCATTTTGTGTTGTGGTTAATGGCTAGACTGCGATATCTGTGCCTTTCCACCTGACACATCCGATTTCAGTAAATCCCTAATTGGTCGTCCCTTACAACATGCTTGTTAGATAGATGATGGTGGCTCTGTTCTCCCTCCCCTCCCTAATGGGGCACTCAAACCAAAATGGAGCACTCAAATTCACATGGGGCACTCAAATTCACATGGGGCACTCAAATTCACATGGGGCACTCAAATTCACATGGGGCACTCAAACCCGCATGGGGAAGATAAAAGATGAAACTGCTTATTTAGTAAATCTTTAGTTGAGATTTAAATGTCGTGTAAAAGTTGGTGGAATATCTGAGAGGATGGAAAACACATCTGATTGCACATGATAGGACATCAGTGACCAGTACAAAGAAATTTCTCATATTAAGCATATTGATCCCCACCCAATGCTACCAACGTCAGGTCTGGTCACTCATGAAAATGCATACACTAAAAAGAAATTAGTAGCCATGAAAATTAAATGCCCGAGAAAGGCTATAGGGGTGAGCAATAGAGTTAATATCACGAATGAGATCGTATGAGGAAAAGTCGTACAGAACAAACCCTAAGTTACACACAAAGACATGACATTAAATGGTTTTACTCATCTAGAGAAAATGGCTGGGGATGCTTTTTGTGTGTTGGCATGTGTTTCCACACGATAGGACTCCTCTGTGCTATAGGGAGGCATTCAGGTAGTGGATTAGGGGTATCCTCTATCAAACTGAGTTGAGTTGATTCAAGAACCAACAACACAGCATGCTGGGCATTCCCATAAGTGCTCTAGTCCCACCTTTAGCGGCCAGTACAAAGTTCCAGTACCAATGGTGCCAGCAGCATTCTAATTACACGTACATTTTGCCTTTCCTCTGAGCGTCAAGTATCGGCCAGAACTCCTCGTCATTCCCTGCTGCATCACTCTCACCAGACAGCAGTGATCCATTTGTTCCTCTGAATTGTTCATATCTCAACACACCGGCATACCCCAGAGAAAAATCCAGACAATGCTCCTCATCCGTGACTTTTGAAGTGAAGCATCCCACTCTCAATGAAGCATGCCTGTCCTCACTTTCCTCAGCATGCTTTCTGAGTCATTTACAATAAAAGTTATATTAAAGGAGAAGTAAGGCACCTCCTTCCTTCCACTAGACTACAGGACACTCTTGGGCAAGGTGGAGTACTTGTTTAACCCCCCCCCCCTCCCCCATCAGGGTAACGTAAAATCATGGGAGCAGGTGGTGGGTACAGCTTGAGAGTAGTCAACAGGTTGGTTGTGGTCTCAGATTTCCCAAAAGTAGGTAGAGGATCACAGTGTAGTGACAATGGCTCTGGTCAGCCGGCCAGTATGGTCACTGCCGAGAAGGAAAGCAGTGGTAAACTACCTTCTTCAAGGTGTCAAAAGTTGTCTTAATTTAGAAGTGTGGTTTTTTCCCCCTTGGACAACCAGAAAGAATTACCCAGATGTTTTGAAAGAGATGAGAACCAAAATACAAAAATCAGAATGTGAGAGTTATAATTTTGTGTCCATTTTATGAGAAGAGGGAAAAGTAGAACATATTATGACCATAGGAAAGATTTTTGGAAAGAGAGTTAGAGGAAGATGGCACAAGAAGATTCATGGCAGCCTTTTGTCTTGGCATGGAAGGGTGTCACCACATGAGCTAGTGAATGAACGCTGTGGGAGATGACAGGTTATGGAGAGGCATGATCACCCACGACAGTTGGCAAGGCGATTGATGATGATGATAGCAGTTATCTGGAACAGTAAAGTAAGAATCAGAACCCTGTGTTTGCTTCAACACGGAAACAGTAAAGGAGAAAGTTTGAAAAATATGACACAGATTTTACATTTGTTGTTGTAGGTATGGTTTATTAATCTAAGACTCCGCTTGTTACAGGAAACATCCGAATGGACCCTGGATTACCCTCCCTTGTTTGCTTGGTTTGAGTACATCATGTCCCTATTTGCAGGACATTTCGATCCAGCCATGCTGGAGGTCAGCAACCTGAACTACGCCAGCAGCCAAACTGTGCTCTTCCAGCGGATGTCTGTCATTGTTACAGACTTTGTGTATTACTTTGCTGTTAAAGAGTAAGTCGTTTGTTCATATCTGAGATTGCTACTGTTGGTTTGATATTTTAAAATTTTAAAAACATTAAAAAAAGCAAAAAAAAAAAGAAAGTTAGTCGACAGATTATCCATCAAACTATTCGACCCATAAGTGCTCAGATCCCCTCTTCAGTATATCCAGCAGTGTGTAGCAGCTGGTTGCACCAGTATAAAGCAGTAGTCCATCTGGTACTGAGGCTCATAAGGGAAGCACCCCATGTGGGTTCAGGGTCTCCCTTGTGGGGAAAACAAGAATAGACCCACTGCCTCTCCAACAAGCATGTCAGAGTGCATCTGTCCGAGCTACACGAAACAACTAACTGCATACTGGTAAGTTAGTAAAACGGAGGTACACCCAAAACTCAGGCCCTGGCACACAGCCAAAGTCCAAATAGATGAACAGCTAGGACTTTATCCATCAGATCTTGCAGCCGGCAAAACAAAGAAGAAGAAGAAAAAGGAGATAAGAGAAGCATTGAATAGTAACACTTTAACATATTGTTGGCACCTTTCCTTCTTGCCAAATGAAAGTATTCCATTGTGCTATAATGGGGGCATAAGAATCACAGTGAGCGTGATGTAGAGTTTACGGCTGGGGGTCAAGTTCTTCCTTTCCATAGCACAAAGTCTGCACAGTGTTATAACTTTGTGTTGCCCACACAGCGTGATCCCTCAGCCTTTCCTTTTTCGCTCCTGACAATAGATAATACCAGTACTTTTGAAACAAAACATGCTGAAGATCAGCGTTCTGTCCAACCATTGGAGCCTCTCTCTTCAACCAGTTACTAACCAAGGCCAAAGACTGTTCGAATAGGCTGGTGCCATGTCCAAAATTTGGGTCACTGCAGTCAAGAGCTAATGTAAGACAGTGCAAGCTGTGCTTGAATATCATTGAGGGGAAAAAGAAAATGTGCACTCAGATACCACCAACAATTTTACCAATCTTCATCAACGGGGTAAATCAACAAGAATTCTAAACCACAATTACAAAAGAAAACCAACATGGGAAAGAATAAAGGAATCAAGAATTGACATCACTGCACTGGGGTCATTTTGATATCTACTCCTTCTCGGGGCCGGAATAATACCATTTGATGTCCTATGCAGTTAACAGATGTTTTATAGTTTCGGATTTCACCTCCTGACCTTGTGAATTTATAGTTTCAGATTTCATCTACTGTTATGAATTTGTCATTTCAGATTTCACCTCCTGACATTGTGAATTTAGGATTTCAGATTTTATCTCCTGATGTAGTGAATTTATCATTTTGGATTTCACCTCTTGATATCATGAATTTAAGTTTCAAATTTCACATCTTCACTTGAAATTATAATTTCAGATTTCACCTCCTAACACGTGGGCAGAAGATGGAAGGCTTGGGAGGAATAGTTGTTTCTATTTTGCTGATATTTAATGTTGGCTTGTTCATTGTTGATCATATCCTTTTGTCGTGGATAGTTGTTGTGCTCAGGAGGCTGGGCCCACTTGTTGATTTTACTTTATTTGATGTTTATTCCACACATGCAACCATGATATATACCTGTACCAGAAGCAGCCCTGTAGTGAGGACTGTTCTGGCTGTGGTCAAGGGCAGGAACATCTGTGTTCTTCGACATCTTCTTCTTTTCTTTTTCTTGTTGTTGTTGTTCTTCTCATTCTTCTACTCCTTTTTCATCGTCGTCTTCGTCACTGCGGGTGCCATCTTTTTCTACTTTTTCTTTCTTGTCATTGTCTTCTTCTTCTGCTTCTTCTTCTTCTTCAGCTCCTTTTTCTTCTTCTTCTTCTTTTATCCTTCTGTCTGACAACCTTGTTTCAGGTGGTCACTAGCGTTGATAAACAGCTATTGTGCAGTACAAATCTCCCCTGTGCCATACAACCTTGTCTTTGTGGAGGAAAGAATGGGCCAGATGGTCTCTCCCTTAGCAGCATACAACCTACAGTGTTGGAGTTCATGCTCATCATTTTCACGTGCCATGTTTTAGTTATTTGTTAATAATTATAAAATTTATATTTATAATTTTGTGTGTGTTTATTTTCGGCGAGAAAACATTGTTTTAAATATATTCCTTATGATGTACAGATATTCATTTCCAGTACAATGGCATTTTGTTTGGAATTATGCTGCTGTCGGTCACAAGAATGCTTCAGGTAACAGGGTACATTTTTACACACATATGTCAGTGCTTCAGAGCTGTGATTCACAGGATACACTGTTGAACTCTTATGTCGGTGCTTCAGAGCTGTGATCCACAGGATACACTGTTGAACTCTTATGTCGGTGCTTCAGAGCTGTGATACACAGGGTACACTTTTACACTCTTATGTCGGTGCTTCAGAGCTGTGATACACAGGGTACACTGTTGAACTGTTATGTCGGTGCTTCAGAGCTGTGATACAAAGGATAAACTTGTACACTCTTATGTCGGTGCTTCAGAACCTTGATACACAGGATAAACTTGTACACTCTTATGTCGGTGCTTCAGAACCTTGATACACAGGATAAAACTTTTACACTCTTATGTCGGTGCTTCAGAACCTTGATACACAGGATAAACTTTTACACTCTTATGTTGGTGCGTTCAGAGCTGTGATACATAGGATAAACTTTTACACTCTTATGTTGGTGCGTTCAGAGCTGTAATACACAGGATACACTGTTGAACTCTTATGTCGGTGCTCCAGAGCTGTGATACACAGGATACACTGTTGAACTGTTATGTTGGTGCTTCATAGCTGTGATACACAGGATACACTGTTGAACTCTTATGTCGGTGCTCCAGAGCTGTGATACACAGGATACACTGTTGAACTGTTATGTTGGTGCTTCATAGCTGTGATACACAGAGTACACTGTTGAACTGTTATGTCGGTGCTTCAGAGCTGTGATACACAGGATACACTGTTGAACTCTTATGTCGGTGCTTCAGAGCTGTGATACACAGAGTACACTGTTGAACTCTTATGTCGGTGCTTCATAGCTGTGATACACAGAGTACACTGTTGAACTCTTATGTTGGTGCTTCAGAGCTGTGATACACAGAGTACACTGTTGAACTCTTATGTTGGTGCTTCATAGCTGTGATACACAGAGTACACTGTTGAACTCTTATGTTGGTGCTTCATAGCTGTGATACACAGAGTACACTGTTGAACTCTTATGTTGGTGCTCCAGAGCTGTGATACACAGAGTACACTGTTGAACTCTTATGTTGGTGCTTCATAGCTGTGATACACAGGATACACTGTTGAACTCTTATGTCGGTGCTCCAGAGCTGTGATACACAGAGTACACTGTTGAACTCTTATGTCGGTGCTTCATAGCTGTGATACACAGAGTACACTGTTGAACTCTTATGTCGGTGCTCCAGAGCTGTGATACACAGAGTACACTGTTGAACTCTTATGTCGGTGCTTCATAGCTGTGATACACAGAGTACACTGTTGAACTGTTATGTCGGTGCTTCAGAGCTGTGATACACAGGGTACACTGTTGAACTCTTATGTCGGTGCTTCAGAGCTGTGATACACAGAGTACACTGTTGAACTCTTATGTCGGTGCTTCAGAGCTGTGATACACAGGATAAACTTTTACACTCTATTGTTGGTGCTTTAGAGCTGTGACAACACAGTGTTTAGACTTGCCTGCCAGCCCAAAGGCGTTGGGTTTGACTCTGTATCAGGCATATTGTTTATAATCGTCTTTGAATGCCTGGTCGACACAGCTGAAAATGGGTAACAGGAACTGTCCTGGGAAGTATAGGTGGCTGGCAATCTGAACCCTTGAGATTCATTGCTGCAGAAATTTCCTGACTCCGTTCATGTCCATGTTTGGCATCCTTTTTTTGTCCAGTTGGTGATTCCAAGCAATTATAGGTCTGCTTGTAATTGTATCATTGTCTGTTTGTGTCATATGCTGATAAAGGCTTTTTAGTCTAAGCGTTTGTTTTGATATTTACAATTGCAGTATTGTGAAGCCGACTTGTTCAACTTCGTATTTGTAGTTTTTCATATTTCTGCCTTGCAGGACTGGTCTCTTTAGACACAGACTAGATGAGTTAAATCTTAGGCAAGTGGAAAGAAGGCAAGGGGAAACCAGTGTTATATTTATGGCTTTTGAAACCTGCTTCTTGATTAAGTTATATACAGAAATCTTCATCTTCTAAGTTCATTACCTGTAAACTTTGGCTAAAAGGTCTGGTTGTTTGTCAACTTCTGGACTTTGGTCTTGTTCCATGAGTTTTGCATGCACATTCGTTTTACAGATGAGGCTTATTTTTATGCAGCCTGTTGGTTCCTGAACTCTAAGGCAGATGTACTCTTTGAAGAGTTACCTTTTACGACATGCATGTTGGGCAGCAGTGGATCGATTCTTTATTCCTCAAAATGGGACCCTGAAACCCACATGGGAAAAATGTGTAAATATCACTGGATAAAATTCTAGAAAGTAATCGCAGCTCGCTTTGTTGAGTACATCCTTCATTGTTGAATGTTGAATTAGGAATCGACATCACAGCACTCCAGACACTTCCATAAGTGCTCAGTCCCCATCTGCAGCAGCAAGCGAAGAGTTCCAATTCCGATGGTACCTGTAACTGTCTGATTGTATATCCGTCTCATCCTTCCCCTGAGTGTGCACTGAAAGAGCCCTCACAATATCTAACTTGTCATACATCAGTATCTGTCTGTTCATTTCCCAACACGTCTGTATCACCTGGAGAAAATATCCAAAGGATGCTAACTACCCCGGACCTCTGAAGTGATGCTTGCCACTCTGCACGATGCAAGCCTGTTTTCACCTTTCTCAACATGCTCTCTGAGTCAGTTACAATCACGGCATGTATGTACAGCTGATTCTCAAGCCAGCGGAAGGCAACAGAGTCTGTCTCCACCTCCATTCTCACACTAGATGTTGTGATATCATATGCAAGGCTTTGCTGCACTAGGTGACGTCCATTTGCCTTTGCTATGAAACCCCACGCACTTCATCTGCCTCTCAACACAGAGTCATCTGAATAGATAATCACATCACTTGGGTGGGAATCGTCATGAATCATTTGTTGAACTTCTGATTCCGCAGCACCAGCTGGCCAGTCCCTGCACTTACGACCTAAAGTCTGAAACTTGATAAGAACCCTACACAAGCCTAAAACTTGTTCGGACACCTTGACCCACTCCTCTCCTCACTCAGAATTATCAAGCATCATCCATTGAGTGCTGATTGGTCTTTACACGTTTGAGTCTAGCCTAAATAAATTTTTACATAGATAACAATAAATAACTTTGCCATCTCTGTATTCCAGGAGCGGTTTGTTGAAAGTGCCTTCTGGTTCGCTGTTCTACTGAACATGAAACATATATTCATATATGTGGCACCTGCCTGGTTCATCCACTTACTGCGCAACTTTTGCTTCCAAGGTAAAACAGATATTTGAGTTCTGTACAAAATGTGATTAAAAAGAGGACCCCAAAAAAAACCCACAACAAAAAACCAGGCACAATTTGTGTGTCATGGTATTAATTTGATTTTAACGGTAGATGTACAAACTGCCCATGAAAACATAAACGTCATTAGCTTTTTGGTTTATAATTAGTTTTACAACAATATTCTGTTTATAATTTAATTTAAAAAAGAAAAAAACATGTTTGTGTAAAAGATTATTATGAGTACAAAATTTTGCGGTTGAAACTTCCCTAATATTGTTGTCCCACTTGTATTATTGTCTACTTCTTGCTCTCTTAAAAGCCTTTCCCTCCAGAATGGTTTTTAGAAGAGTGTCATGTCTTTTTAATGTGGCCAGAATATTTCAGCTGTCAATTTAAAAAATTCTTTCAGTAGTTCTAATTTCATTCGCAGACTTTCAAAAACCTCTGTATTTTACTGTTTTTGTTTCCATGAAAAACAACCTGTTCTTCGGTATATGCACATTTTCAGAGACTTAATTTCATTTTCTGGTTGCATATTTATCATCAAAGTTTCTGCACTGCACAGGAGGATTGAGTATACGTAACAATTCACGATTCTCATTTTAATTTTAATGTGTTGTTTATCTCTCCAACTATCGGTAATTTTTGCATCTTATTAAAGATAGTTTTAGAAATTTCGAATTCTCTTTTTGATTTGTGTTTTACTGCTACCATCATCAGTTACTACATGTTCTAGAAAGGAGAAACTGGTTGCTTGTCGTGATATCTCTCTGTTTGTTGTGATGTTCCCTGTTGGTCACTCGTATCCATTATTGATTTGTATAGTTTTTGGTTTTTCAAATGCTAATGTCAGTTCACTACTCTGCTCTTCACCAATTGATCCACCTGGTCTTGTAACTCATGCTCACTTTCTGCTAGTAACAGAATACCAAGATGACGAGTTGTAAAGGTGAAAGGTTGAATAGTTACAACATACAGTTCTATACAGTAAATATTGGGGAGAGACATGGTTGCCAGCTATCAGCCAGCTTGAGGAAGAGAGGTAGAGAGGTGGGGGGGGGGGAGGGAAGAAAGAAATAGAGAAGGGAGAATGGAAAAAAAGGGAGGAAAAGAGGATGAAGGTTAGAAGAAAATGATGAGGAGGGAGAAGATGAAGAGGATGGGAAGAAGAAGATGAGGAGGAGGGATTAGAAGCAAAGGGTTAGGAAGGTGGAGGCGAAGAAGAGGAAGAGAAGGGAAGGCAAGATGAGGAGGAAGAAACAGAGTATGAGGAAGGAGGTAAAAAAGATGAGGCATTAGAACAAAAGGATGAGGTAATAAAAGAAAAGGATGAGGTAATAAAAGGAAAAGATGAAGAGGATGAAGAAGATTATGAGGAGGAAGCAGAGGCATGAGAAGGATGGATAAGTGGAAAGAGACAACATGAGGAAGTTGAAGATAAGAAGGATGGGAAAGAAGAAAAAAAAAGAGAAAGGTGAAAATGAAATAAATTATTGTCATGAAAAAAATTGCTTCACGCTTTGAATCTCCTGGGTTCGTTTTATGGCTGGTCATTTGGATCATGAGTGCAGTTTTTACAGAGATCCCTAGGGATCATCATCAGAACTCTTGAGTTTCTGCTTTATTCAGTACTTTCTGCAGAAGTCTAGCCGTGGAATGAATGAACCTTATTTTCGAAAGGTCACAAATTACATACGTAGGCCCGCCTTACAGTCTGACCTTCCGGACACTCATCTTTCACACAGCATTTGTATTTTATCTGTAAAGCATGTTATGTTCATTTAATAGCTTACACATTAGAAATGCAGAATTAAACCGAGCCATGGGGATGCAACCGAGCCATGGGGATGCAACCGAGCCATAGTGATAAAACTTGGTGCAATTAAGTCATTCTGCTTTGATGAAAAAGGAAAAACCATTTTTTAAATCATTTTGTTTTCATTTGTATCTCTTCAGGTAACAAGCCAGTCTCATTGACCAGTTTTTCCTTGCACAACTTCCTTACTTTGGCCTCTGTTGTTGCTCTGGTGTTTGGCGCTTCATTCGGGCCTTTTATTTACATAGTAAGTAAAGTGAATGTTACCTAATATTTGGGGAAGTCATTAAGGCGGGCCAAGGTTGGGCAACAAACGATCTTCACAATCTGCCCAGGCTTTGGATTGGAGAAACTTTATTTCCTAGCCTTAATTAGTCTTGGAAAACTGTTACTCGGGTGAGCGGGTCTTGCTAGTCACACTCTTTCATGTGAAAAGAGCAATGAGGGAACAGTGAGGAGGCACAAATAGATCATCACAGTCTGAGGAGAATGGTGCTGTGAGGAGTTACCAGGGAATCTGGCTGATGCGCAGCACTTAAGGGAAAGGTGAGACAAGTATACAAACAGACTGTTGTTGGTGGCATTGAAATTGTAATGCTGCTGAAGATGGGAACAGAGCACTTAAGGGAATATCCTGAGTGCTGTGATGTCGATTTTTAAAGCAACATTTTATCTGTAAATACAGAATGGTTCCAACAAGTAAAGTAACATACTTTTTTTCATACTACTGACACATCAGGTATCTGGTAAAGTAACATACTTTTTTATCATACTACTGACACATCAGGTATCTGGTAAAGTAACATACTTTTTTCATACTACTGACACATCAGGTATCTGGTAAAGTAACATACTTTTTTCATACTACTGACACATCAGGTATATGCTAAAGGACCTCTTTTATGCACCTTCAGATGTATTTGGCTAGATTGTATATCCGTCTCATCCTTCCCCTGAGTGTGCACTGAAAGGGCAATCACAATATCTAACTTGTCATACATCAGTTCACCACCAAGTGGTGCAGAGCCAGCCAGTCTATCTGTCTGTTCATTTCCCAACACACCGGTATCACCTGGAGAAAATATCCAAAGGATGCTAACTACCCCGGACCTCTGAAGTGATGCTTGCCACTGTGCACGATGCAAGCCTGTTTTCACCTTTCTCAACATGCTCTCTGAGTCAGTTACAATCACGGCATGTATGTACAGCTGATTCTCAAGCCAGCGGAAGGCAACAGAGACTGCCTCCACCTCCATTCTCACACTAGACGTTGTCATATCATATGCCAGGCTTTGCTGCACTAGGTGACGTCCATTGGCCTTTCCTATGAAACCCCACATGGTGTGGTGTCAACATTACACCAGCTGCCTTTACTTCGCAGGACTTTACCTGGTATCTGTTTAAGGTTGGTTTAAACTGGGAGCCAAAGTCATTTTAAAAAAAAAAGTCTGGTGGTTCCTTCAGATACGCAGGTGGGTGTCTGGCTACTATTGCCCGCCAGGACCCATTTGTAATGAAAAAGGAAAATCAAGAAGGGTATAGGAATTAAGGAGAAGATGGTTGCAGATGGGTTAAGATATCAGACAAATGAAAGGCAGAACAAGTCAGCTTCAAATTATCACAGTTACAAACGTCAAGTGAATGTTGTGGCTAGAATGCCTTCATCAGCACAAATATAAATGTACAGTACCACAAATACAAACAGGAATGCCTAAAGTCACCTAACTGAAGATCTCTAGAGGAATCACATGGCTGTCTGGCCAGTTGAGTCTCTGACATGCGTGTGATAACTGAAAAGAAATACTAGCCAGAAGAATCTTGCACCAACAAGGGCTGTAACTAAAAATATTTAGATAAAACAGTGTTAAGGGCCCGTGAGCAAATTTTAGCCAGTTAGATAGATAAGGTGATTCTCAAGAGGTTTACAGACTGTGTCATGCTAGACTTGATGGCTGTAACCTCCATACAAAAGACACCGTAATGACCCTGAATATAGAAATGCATCGGCACTAGTTTGAAGGCACTGTTCTGCACATCAAATTTAAGAGAAAGGTTATGGCTGCAAATTTAACTTCTTTGTTTCAAATTGACAATCGGGAGAAATTGCTTTGATAAGTGAATTTACTCTTTCATAGCTGATGCCCGGTTGCTACAGTGATGACAACAGAAATAAAGCTATACAACATCCTCAGGGACATAATATACAGCCCGATAAATACATCAAGCATGACCATTTAGATAACTGTTGTTTTCAGAGCACTCGCGTAGGGCAGCAGAACATGGCGGTAATCGTTTCAGACTCCATGAACATGCTTCAGAACATTGTAACAGTCTGCATTCCGAATGGTTAGAAAACATTGGGAAATCGCAGTTAACCTCCATCATTTGGATCTACACACCTGGGTGCCAATGCAAACAAGAAGAGCTGACATCATCAACGTTGTACGGAGTAGGTTGAGGGATAATGTTAAATCTCTGACGCTGACATGATTGCGAGACCGAGGAATTAACCTTGGTGAAGGGCGTCTATGTCGTCTTTGAGGTAAAGAGGGAAGATATCATAACTAAATCCTCATGGGAACAATCAGTAGAGGTACTTTGGAGTGACTGCTGCGTCGGAGGACTGAGCACACAGGAATGTCCAAGGTGCAAAGACGTCGATTGTGATAACATAACATAACAAACAGCCAAATATCGGAGACATATGCTTATCGGACTAAACTTAATAGCTACAGAAACATACATAACATGTTTTCAGGTTGACCTAAATATCAAATCACACATCTGATGCACTGTTTGGTACTAAAAGAATTCAGTTGTTCATTCGTATGTTAAATTCTTTCAGGGTCAGCTACCTCAAGTATTATCTCGGCTGTTCCCGTTCAAGAGAGGCCTGGTGCATGCCTATTGGGCCCCTAACTTCTGGGCCTTGTACAGTGGTGTGGACAAAATCCTGGCCACAGCAGGTGAGCTGCTGTGTCTTATTGTGGTTCTGAGGATCTTCTTCTGTTCGTACTTAATGCCATCTCAAAATAAAACACAATTTTTTTGTTATTTTACAGCCCCACTGGCTGTCGACGGGGGCCCTAATATAACCTAACGGTTGAACAGGGCTTTTGGGACTTACACCCGGGTGATTGTCATCCGAATGGTGGCACTTTATGTCACAGGGTGTTTATCGCTGATTATGCAATCCTGATTGGGTTGAACCTCATTCATTCATTCATTCATTCTTCTTAAAAGTGTGGTCGGCACTTTGTGCTATGGTTTACAGCTAGGCTGTGAAATCTGCGCCTTTCGACCTGACACATCTGATCTCAGCAAACTCCTAATTAATTGCCTTTTTCTACACACTTGTTAGAGGGTTGCAGGTCTATTCTTCTTCCACCCCCCTCTCCCCCTTTTTTTCTTTCCATTTGGGCACTAGAACCCACACAGGGAGACTGGGATTGATTTCAGTTTGAGGAAAGGATTCTTTTCCTGCCTTTGGGACATCAGACATATGGTGCTAAACCCACACTTTTAGACCAATCAGAACTGTGTACAAATGCTTGAGGAAAATGTTGAAATGAGATGAATTCAAGAGCGGTGGTGGTATAAAATAAATGCCTGGGTAGCCGCTGGTAACATCACTTAGAAGACCCAAGAAGATAACGCAATATTGGAGACGTCCTGAGAAGAAACAAGCAGAGACTTTGATACTAAATGTTTAATAAAGGGATCAAGGAAGCAAGGATATCCAGAAGAAACCCTAAACAAACATGGGTGAGAGGGCTGAAAGTGCTGGGCTGGATTCCATCTATGATATCCAAGAGATTGCACAGGATGGAATGGAGGAATAGACTGTGAGCCCCGTGTGACATATAGTGGCACAACAGGACTGATGATGGTGATGAATCAGCACTCTATAGTTGATGTGAACATTGTGTTGACTGGAGATCCCTAGGGATCGTCATCCGATCAAGGGAGTTCATGATCTGCACGGCGCTCTTGGCAGGCAGAGAGATAGAGCCATATAGGATAAAACCTAATGCAATTAAGTCAATTCTCTTGACTTCAACCTGTAACCATTGTGATAGCTAGCTTTGCATTTCAAAAAACAGTCACAGATTCTTGAGAGCCATTAGTCATGACATGAAGGGGTGTCAGCACATTTGATTTTACAGTCACGGCAGATGCGAGCAGCACAGCTCTGTGATTCCCTAATGACTGAGGGTTGACTAAGGGTTGCCTACAAAAGGCAGCTAATCAAAGGGTCTGCTGAAATTGGCTGCGTTGGGCCGAAAGACAATATTGCAGCCTAGCTATAAACCACAACACAACATGGCAACTGCCATGTTAAAGGGCAAATGAAGAAGAACTGATAACAGCTTTCTTAGTTGTTGGGCACTTGCTCTACCTGGACCTTTAAGGCAACAGTTCTGTAAGCTTATGTTCGTTAGCACAATGCCAAGGTCACTTGAGTGCAGTTTTGGAAATCTTCACCCAAGTATGGGAGCCACTGTGGGGTTGCGGCTAGACACTCGCTTGCAGAACGGAAGATCATGGAGTCAGGTTCTGACAGAGCCAGACTTTTTTTTAATGACCTTGGATTCCAGGTCAGCCCAGCCTTTAGTGAGTGGGTACCAGATAAGGTCCTGGAAAGTAAGGGTGGTGGCACAATGCTGACTACATTACCCACCAATTGCTGATTGGTCTATAAAATATAAATCTAGTGCTCTATGTCCAGCACACCTGATGGCGTGGAGAAGGGTCCTTTACTTACCTTTTTGCCTAAGTGTATTTTCAAGATTGATATTTTTTTACTTTACAGTATGCTACTGGTACACGGAGGCCGCGTTAGCGTAGTCGATAAGAAGCTCGCTTTCAAATCCAACTGCGACTGGCTGCAGCCCACGGTCGGTGTTCGAAACCGGGTGGCTCCTGGGGTTCACCCAGCCTCTAGGAAATGGGTACCAGAGTGATACTCTGGGGTAAATGGAGGAACATCGCTGTAGCTACAGAATTATGTCCGAACGGCGACACAGGCAGACAATTCTTATCGGCTGTCCGTACTGGTGGCAGAGCACTTATGGTTTATAACCGGGTGCAATGACGCTGGTTCACATCTCCTGACTTTACCTTTACTGATACACATGAATTTCTAGCCCATGTAGTTAAAAATAAAGTATTACTTTCTACACAACTATAGTTCTGATTTGCCACTTTGGAGAGAAAACAATTTTCTTGAAACAGATAGTTGGCACTTAGGGGGCTTTGGCATAGTGGCCATGAATTATCAACTTTCTGTGTTGCAGCTGTGAGTGCTGGACTGGTCAACCAGAGTAGTGTCCCCATGGCATCCATGACAGGTGGCATGGTACAGGAATACAATCATGTCATGCTGCCGTCTGTCGCACCGCTGTCGACTATGATCCTTGTGCTGGTGGCCATGGTGGTGAGTTATGTCACTTGTTTCTTCCTGTGTGGCTTCCAGGGTCTCATTGTTATGGCAAAATATAATAGACCCTTTGCTCCCAAAAAACCTGTCATACAAGTTGACTAATTAGGGATGTTTCCTTTGAATTCATGGTGCATCTGCCTGTATACAGATAAGTTATGTATGTAAAATGAACGTGCATGCAAAACTCAGGTTCTGAAATAAGACTGAATTCCATAAATGCATGAAGAACCAGAACTTTCTGCTGTAATTTACAGCTTGCGAACAGTCTGCTAACAAACAGTCCAGATCTGAAAGAGGGAAGTGCACACAATACTCAAGTTCTGAAACAAAACGAAAGTTTAGACATGGATCAGTAGTGAGGACTATCTGCCAGAGTTCATGGCTTACAAGTTGCAGAAGAAGTCATCTTTGTAATAAAGTATTGATGAAAAACAACAATGCACATTTGATATGCCTAAAATAATACAACACTTGTACCTGATGTGTCACTGGCGTGAAAGGGGTCTATTAATTTTTGTGATGATCTAGAAATGTGTATATATTTGGAATTTACACGTGATTAGTTTGTTCAGTATTTAACATCATTGTTTGGATATTTTTTAATAATTTTTTTTTGTTTTTGTGTTTGTATTTGCATAAGTTATGTGTTCAGTATTATTATCTTATTTTCTCTAGCCTTTACACGTAGTTTATGTATTTAGTATTTACGTGAGATTTGAATGCAATATTAACACATGATTTATGTGGTGTGTCTTTTTAGCATCTTTTTTTAATGTGATTTGTATTTTATGTACTATTTACTTATGACTGGTGTGTTTGGTATTCACACAGCCGGCCTTGTTTTTCCTGTGGGAGCAGAAAACGGCTGCAGCCTTTACCAGAACCATTGTTCTGTGTGCCTTCACATCCTTCTTGTTTGGCTGGCATGTCCATGAGAAGGCTGTGCTCATGATCATCATTCCAATGACGTAAGTTGATGAATTATGAGCCTGTAAGATGAGTACAAATAAGTAAAAAGTAGCCCATGAGTACAAATAAGTAAAAAGTAGCCCATAAGATGAGTACAAATAAGTAAAAAGTAGCCCATAAGATGAGTACAAATAATTAAAAAGTCGCCCATAAGATAAGGAAATTTTTTTTTTTAATGAGCCAATAAGATGAGTAAACAAAAGAAACAAGTAGCCTATAAGATAGGCAAAAACAAGAAAAAGGGGGGGGGGGGGGGATTGCCAGTAAGCTAGGTTACAAAAATTGGCCCATAAGATTGGTACTTTGTCACCAGTGATGTATTGGGCATAGGATGCTGGATTTATTTTATTTCTATGTGTGTAGACCAGACAGTGGTTAATATGATCAACATCTTGCCAGCCTCCTTTACTTCCCATGACTTCCATGTGCATCTGATCTGTTCTTACAGGTTTGACTGAACTGTTAGATAGAATTATATTTGATGGAGTTTTTTTTTTTTTTTTTATTTTCCAATCATTGTTTATCAGGAGGAGGGGTTTAGGAAGGGTCAACCTGGTATTCATCTTAGGCTGGGTCGAGTTGGAAGCCAAGGTTATTTTTGAAAAAGATTATACTGGGTGTGGTTTTTAGCCTACAACCTTTGGCAGACAAGCAACCATCTGGCCAGTATGCCACAATGGCCTCTTCCCCCTACATGACCAGGGACTCAAGATAAACACCAGTAAAAAACTAAATTTAAAAGTAGTGACAAATAATCAGAAAATAGAAAATCAAATTATCTTAAATGACGAACCAACTGCTTTGGACTTGGATTCAAAAAACAGTGTGACTTTGAGAATAAATACAGCAAATCAAGCATTTGCCATACTTAATAGTAAATGGGAATCAAAGAGACTTAGTTTGAAGATAAAACTCAGATAATACAACAGCAGCATTATAGGAATGCTATCAGTGAGTGTTGGAAAATGACAGCAGGAATTATGCATAAACTGGAGATTTGTCAAAATACGTATCTGAGAAGAATCCTGCAAATATTTTGACCAAACAGAATCGCAGAAGAAAAATAGAGAAGGAAAATAAAGTAAACTGACATGGGATACCATGGACAATAAAACAGCAAAGCGGAAACATTGGAAATCACTTGTGAATACTTACCTCTCAGTATGGACATGAAGAGGATATGAGTATAGATCAAAGGTGAGGTTATATTGGGCAGGTTCTGTTGGTATTTGTAGTTGTTTGGTTGGTTTGGATTATTCTGGAAGACTGAGTTTAAACTCATAAGTTTGATTATTTCCTGTTCAGATCATCTTAAAAGAGCTTGCATCTGTTGAAGTGTCCTGAAAAATGTTTGTGTCTAACAAAAAGAAAAGATCTTGTGTCTCTCCTAAAAAGAGCTTGCATCTAATAAAATGCCCCCCCCCCCCCCCCCCCACCCAAAACAGTGTGTCTTCTGTCCCAAAAAGAGCATTTTGCTTTTCCTAAAAAGAGCTTGAATCTGTTCTTAAAAAAAAAGCTTTTGTCTATCTTAAAAAGAGCTTACACCTATTGACGTGTCTCAAAAAGTGCTTATGTCTGTCCTAAAAAGTGCTTTTTTCTATCATATGAAGAGCTTGCATCTATTGAAGTGTCCCAAAAAAAGAGTTAAGTGTCCGTCCGTCTATGCCAAAAGGAGCATGTGTCTATCAAAGTATCCTAAAAAGATATTGCTAGCCATGTCACTGTTGAATTAATGTATTAAGAACTTACTTCATAAATTGGAATGGTAGCAAATGAGTATTGAATATAATTGCTGTTGTAGCAAAAATATTAAAAGTTGATAGCAGATCAATGTTCCCAATGGTAAATTTGAACAAAGAAGACACAAACAAAAATAGTTGTGCATCCTTTGGAAGACATTGCAAACAAGCCCAAACATTTGTTGGCTATTTGTGTGTTTTCTAAATTCTTTCTGAGCTATCAGCTGTTGATAGAATTGTCAAAGTCAGTGCAAAGCAGTCTGCTGTCATATTTTATGCAGCTGCAATCAAACCAGGTATCTTGGAATTTTAAACAGCATTCACAACACACAATCGATGGCATAATTTAAAGATTGCAGTTTCAAATATAGTTGACTTTGTGTTTTCCCTATATGGGTTTCTGGGACCCACTTTTCACTAACAAGCTTGTAGTAAGAGGCCACTAATTAGGGGGTGTTACCTTTGAAATCAGAGTGCCTCAGCCTGAGAAGCAAGGAACCAACAGTCGGTATACAAATACGCAATATCTGTAAAACTGATGTTCTCTCAAACTCAACTTCTAATACAAGACCAAAGTCCAAAAATGAACATCAAGAACTTTCTGCCGGAGTTGACAGCCAATGAATGCTAAGAAGAAGAAAGTTGTGGTCATACAGTTACCATCTGTTTGTGTGCAGTTATTTCTTGTTAAATAGTGTGAACATAAACAATACATTGCACAGTTTATTATCTGGCATTTTCCCTTTATCCTGTCAGTTTATTACCACAGGTTTTCATCAATATATAATAAAGCACAACTCGCATGAATCCTTTCCACTAAACTACACACATCACATTGTCTCTTGTTATACTGAACATCTTGCCACTGGAATATCAGGAGTAACCACACAAATCTGACATAGTGGTTGCATCTTCTGTGCGACTTACCTCACACTGAATACAGAAGCTGTGGCAATTAAAACAGACAGTGCCTCATTGTGTGAACAAAAAGATCAAGTAGTAAATTTGAGATTTTAAATCCACATTTAGAAAACATTGTTTTGAACTTTTATTTTGCAGGTTAATGATCATGCGAGACAAGCAGTATGCCAGGTTGTATCTTATCATGGCAACCGTTGGCTTTTACTCCTTGTTTCCTTTGCTGTTCAGCCCATTTGGTGAGTGTTAGGCCTCTTCTCACTTTGGTTGCATTGTTCTTTGTTTCTGAAAGTGTAGTTTTTGATTCGTACCTCAGGTGCTAAACTAAAATATTTAACTCTTAACGTAAAATCAGTACTGCTGTCTTCATCAGAAATGTCTAGAATGACAGACTCAGAAATAAATCCTGAACATTCATTGACACTTTCACCCTGGGAATGCTAAGAAAATGGGTTGTGAGCCCATGGGAATGCTAAGAAAATGGGTTGTGAGCCCATGGGAATACTAAGAAAGAAGTCCTTGAAAAATGATTATTTAACACAGGTCAGTAATACATTTAAAAGAACAAATCAATATATTTTCCTCCAGAATATAAAAAGACAAATAAAAGGGATCATTAATAAACATGAACAGAGTGAAGCATTAAATGGAATACATTCCCCGGTGTCTAAAAAAAAGCCAAATACAATAGGAATAAACTCACAGGGAGCAAGTACAGCAGGGATCTACCAGTCGTCAGTAGAAATTATCCTCGTCGACACGCGTTTCGGCCCACGATTCCTAGACGCATTCGGAGGTGGGCCCTCCTGAGTTCATGAAGCTCAGGGCTGGTTCCCCGCTGCACGGAATTACCGGATGGTGTTATTCTTTCGGCCAGAGACAAGACGACTTGGTGGTTTCGCAGGAGGTACTGTGAGATAAGAAGTCGCCACGGCAGCCTAATTAAAGCAGTCAGCATGCCTGGACGACCGAGCGACAAGCTTACTTTGGTTTACTGGACACATGTTGGACTTTTATTAGCAGTTGGCAGAGGAACACTGGCAGACAATTAGGACACGATGGACTTTCAAAGAGGTGAGAAACCCTTTTCCACTAGACACCCGGACCAGCTCACCGAGGCCCGTCCCCTACGTTGTTGCGCTGCGTCCAAAGCCAGCTAGAGGCCCTTTCGGCAATCTCTCCCAGTTTTTTGAGTGTTCGTTTGCGTTCATTACCGCGCAATCCTAGTTCTTTCACCACATTGTAGAGCGAAGTGGAAACGAGGCCTCTCGCTCCCACTTCGGCGGCAAATACCCGTAATGTGTAAGCCTCGTTTCTCCTCAGACCGGCTGCTAAATCACTGTACTTCTCGAGCTTGTACAAATGATTCTCCTCCATACGCGACTCAAACGGGACGGTCAACTCAATCAGGATGAGCTGCCGTTTTTGCGCAGAATGGAGAACGATGTCCGGTCGCAGGCCGGTCTTACGAATCAACTCGGGGTACCGTTCATGGCCTGGCAGATCAACCGCCAGTAACCAGTCCCTCGCAGAGTCTAGCACAGATGGAGCGAATGCGTTTTGGTTGACCTTACCTTTTGGAACCTGCCCAGCCTTGAGGAAACGAATGGGGACGATGCTAGAACTGGCTCTGGCGTTAGCCCTCATTCTAGCCTGGTCGACAACGGCTGCTAACTCTTTTAGCACCTTGTTGTGTCGCCAGGTGTATCGGCCTTGACCTAGGGCTTTCCTGCACGCGAACAGGACGTGCTCAATACAATAAATATTAGGTGACACATGACATAAACCCGTAACCTCTTTCGCTGAGACTTAAGAGAAAATTTGAATTCAGCTTGACTTTAAAAACCATTGGAGTTATAAGGGACCCCGCCCCCCCTCAAATGATATTTTTAATCATTTTAATAATATCCTGGCCTATTAAACACTGCACAGGCACACAGAACCAATGTAATTTAACTGGGCTTATCAAGAACAGGTAACTGCAGGCAGGCCAGTATATCAGCATTTATGGGACTGTCAGCAGACGTGACTAGATTTAGTGACAGGGTTAACCACAAGAATAATCGCCAGCTCCAGTGCACTCGCACGGACAGCAGAACAAGCAGCACACACATGAAAACAAGTGGCCACGCCAGGATGATCATGTCAGACTCCGTGAACATGTTTCAGAAAATTGCAGCAGGCAGCTCTGCTCTGAATGGATGACAGCATTTGAAACTTGCAGGTAACCGCCCTCACCTGGATCTACACACTTGGGCATACTTTAGTAAAAGGTATTGAACAAATGGACCAGCTGGCAAATACTGCACCATATTTGCGGGAAAATACATGGACAGAGCTGATATAATCTTCTTCTTATGGCTGTAAACTGTGGCGGAGTGTTCTAATTTTTTGTCCACTTCTGAATGTTGATCTTGTTCTGGAATATGAGTTTTACCTGCACATGCATTTTACAGATTGCCTCTCAGGCAGATGTATTTTGAGTTTAAAGGAAACACGCCTATTTAGTCACTTACATGCTTGCTAAGGAAGATGGTGTGTCTTCCGCTCCCCCTCCCTCCCCCCCAGCCCATCGAGTCCCAGAATTCACACAGAAACAGATATCATCAGTGCCATATGGACTAGGCTGGTGGTTAAGGGTGAATCTCTAAAGCTAACATGATTACACGACCTTGGAGTAAAGCTCCTCAAGAAGCCTGCAGCCATTTTCGTTTTTCTGACTGCTGTTATCTCCTAATTTTCTGATGTATTCTTCTGCTTAATTCCAGTTTCCTGTTCTTGCATTAAAATCACCCATGATAATGACATTTTATTCTTTCTTGATCTGGTTTATTTTGTCATTTAGTGTGTCAAAAAATTCTTCGCTTTCTTAATCATTTTTAGTTGCATTACACGGGGCTATATTTTAAATATATTGTATATTTTAAATATATTGTATTTACTCCTTTGTCACTATTCCTAATTGTTACGGTTCTTTCTGGATGTATTCAGTGTTTATGAATCTCTTAGCTAACAAATCTAGTATTAGCTCTTTTGTTCACTTCTACTCCTGAATAAAACTACACAAAGTTTAGATGCACTTTCTTACAACCTATTCCTTTAGTTCTTGTGTCTGCTAGTCCTAATATTGCTATTTTGCATTCTCTAATTTTTTCTATGGTGCCTTCTACATTGTTCTTAATTCCACTTTTACTGATGGTGCAAATTTTCTTGATATTCTTTGGTACTGTCCCTTTCATTCTAGTCGGTTCGTGAGATCCCTTTATTTTCTACGAGCACTAAATAAACCACTGTCGGTTCGCTGGAGCAGTCACAGTGTTTTCAAACTTCCTAAAAGGTAACACTTGAAAACACACTTCTCAGGCACACTTGAACTAGACTATCACATTCAGACTAGTTTAACACTTCTACTCCAAAATGTCCAAAACTGACCCTGGTTGGATGCTGGCTGAAAAATTAACACCCCCCTTACCTCACCATCTTGACCGGAAAAATGTAAATGGCCAGTTGTTGGAAGCAGTCTATAGTTTATGTACTCTTCATCTCTCTTTGATTTTATCCACTGTTTATGTAAATGTTTTGTTTTCCTTTTAATTGCTTCTTTAACTTCTTCACCACCACTAAGTTGAAAGTTTATCATAACCCCGTCTGTTTCCACTCTTCCATTTTCTAACACTTCCTGTGCAGTAGTAAGCATTGTTATTTTATATTCATTCCATTCATCTTTAGTAGTGCCCACTGCAGGTGATAGTTGTTTGAATGCTGTCTCTGCTTTCTGTTGCAACTTTTCCTTTGCTCCTTCTAATTTCAGATTTGCTGTCTTGATGAGATCTCAGTTTTTGGCTAATTTCTTTCTGTGTGTTTTGTGAGATGTTTTGCTGTTAACTATTTTATTGATAAGTGTCACATAAACCATTAGGAATTGCTCTTGCATCCAAAATTGTCCTTCTTCCTTTAATTCCAGTTAATATAAAGTCAGTCTGGCTCTTAATGAAGGTGTTATTCCATTTATAACAAATGTAAAGCTAAGAGTCTCTACGGTCAAAAAATGTATTTGTAGAAGATGAATAAATGACATTAAAGAGCTTTCGCATCGACATGGAACCACAATAGCCGTTGCTACCCAGCAAGCAATGGATTGCAGACTGTTTTTCTCATGATGTCTTAATGGGAAACGTGCACATTGATGATGATGAAGTGAGGGTTTGCTGAAATCAGATGTGTTGGGACAGTAGGCGCACAAAATGCAACCTAGATTTGAACTTCAACACATGTCAACCACCTTTTAAAGGATGAAAAAAACAAAAGAAGAAGAAGACATAGTGTCAGTTGTGAGTTCACTGTACCTGTCTGTGTTTCATCTCCAGAAAATGTACTGAAGGTGTTGCTTCTGTTACAAAGCAGCATTTTTGCATTCCTGTGTATGGAAGTAATCTACAGGTAGGTTGGCAAGGGAATGTAAATATCAGCATTATTATCACCATTAGCAATGTTATCATCATCATCATTATAGTGTGCTATTAGATGTCACATAGTGCTTGCAGTCTATTTCTCCATTCTTTTCTATCCTTTGCAGGCTTTTTCTGTATAATAGATGGAATCTTTTCTGTATCATAGATGGAATCTTGTCTATATCATAGATGGAATCTTGTCTATATCATAGATGGAATCTTGTCTATATCATAGATGGAATCTTGTCTATATCATAGATGGGATCTTGTCTATATCATAGATGGGATCTTGTCTGTATCATAGATGGAATCTTTTCTGTATCATAGATGGAATTTTGTCTATATCATAGATGGAATCTTGTCTATATCATAGATGGAATCTTGTCTATATCATAGATGGAATCTTTTCTATATCATAGATGGAATCTTTTCTGTATCATAGATGGAATCTTTTCCATATCATAGATGGAATCTTTTCTATATCATAGATGGCATCTTTTCTATATCATAGATGGAATCTTTTCTGTATCATAGATGGAATCTTTTCTGTATCATAGATGGAATCTTGTCTATATCATAGATGGAATCTTTTCTGTATCATAGATGGAATCTTGTCTATATCATAGATGGAATCTTGTCTATATCATAGATGGAATCTTTTCTATATCATAGATGGAATCTTTTCTGTATCATAGATGGAATCTTTTCTATATCATAGATGGAATCTTTTCTATATCATAGATGGCATCTTTTCCATATCATAGATGGAATCTTTTCCATATCATAGATGGAATCTTTTCTATATCATAGATGGAATCTTTTCTGTATCATAGATGGAATCTTTTCTGTATCATAGATGGAATCTTGTCTATATCATAGATGGAATCTTGTCTGTATCATAGATGGAATTTTGTCTATATCATAGATGGAATCTTGTCTATATCATAGATGGAATCTTTTCTATATCATAGATGGCATCTTTTCTATATCATAGATGGAATCTTTTCTATATCATAGATGGAATCTTTTCTATATCATAGATGGAATCTTTTCTATATCATAGATGAAATCTTTTCTATATCATAGATGGCATCTTTTCTATATCATAGATGGAATCTTTTCCATATCATAAATGGAATCTTTTATGTATCATAGATGGAATCTTTTCTGTATCATAGATGAAATCTTTTCTGTATCATAGATGGAATCTTTTCTGTATCATAGATGGAATCTTTTCTCTTTCTTGGATGGAATCTTGTCTATTTCATAGATGGAATCCAGTCCAGCACCTTTGGTCTCTCATCAGGGTTCATCTCAGGGTTTCTCCTAAATGACCTCATTTCCTCAGTCCCTCTGTTTCACATTTCACTGCCTGTTTGGTGATTCTCTGTTCGTCTCTTAGAATCGTCCTATATAGTGCTGTCTTGTTTGTCTTATTACTGTTGATACTAGTGCTTGCCCAGATATAGTTTCCTTCAAAGTTGGAGTGCGTCTGCCTGAGAGTCAAGAACCAACAGTCAGCATAAAAAGAAAAAAAAAACAGGACTGTTTTCTGCACACAAAACTCAATTTCTGAAACAAGACTAAAGTCCAGAAGTGGACACACAACCAACACTTTTCGCTGGAGTTTATAGATGGGGATCACAAAGAAGTAGAAGACATAGAGTAGCAGTAGACATAGAGTAGCAGTAAGAGATAATATTAACATTGATCAAAAATTGGAAGACTAGGACTGAAACCATTGTCACAGATTATTAAAGAGCAGAAAATGAGATGGTTTGGCCATTTGACAAGAATACCCTGGTACCAACTGCATAGGAGAGTCAGGTTGAAAAAAACACATAATGAATACAAGAGAAAGACCATGCCAAAGAGGGAATGACAGCATCAAGAACAAGGGAAAGGCAGAGAGATAAATACCTACAGGGCTTGGCATATGGATAGGACGAGACTACTGACCTGTTCTGTGATTCTGGAGATCTTGTGAGATGGCAAAATATGACGCCTTCACTTATCGGCATGGCAGATAATGATGATGACTATGGACAGACAGAAAAGAGTGAGGCAGTTGAAAACAGTAATTCAATATGTGGATTAGTTTTCTGGGGTTTTTAATGTGATTTTGTAGCTAACAATTCTTGTTGTTTCATTAGTTAAGAAAAGACTGCAGACGCAAACAATACATTGCACAATTTATTCCTGGCATATTTCACTGTATCTCGTCAAATGAATTGCTCCAGAGTTTCATAAATATAATGAAGCACAAAAAGTGTTCCTTTTGACTCATTCTTTTTCAGTTTCACTTGTATTGCTTCAGATTTCAAAAGAAATCTAAGGTTCTGCTTTTTTCTCCTCTGGCTGCCTTAACCATTGAAACATTGTACCTGTTCTTGGTCTGTCTCTTGTTTCACCTTCCTCTCCTCTTTTAGTGTATGCATGTTTGGTATACCACTTGTTGGTGAACTGATGTATGACAACCTAGATGTTGTGAGGGCCCTCTAGGAGCCAGTGAACAGAGCGGAAGTGCAAATAGATCATTACGATCTGAGGAGAATGGCGCTGGGAGGAGTTGCCAGGGGATCTGACCGATGCTCTACACTTAAGGGAAAGGCAAGACGGATGTACAATCAGACAGTTCCTGGTGCCATCGGAATTGGAACTCTTCGTTTGCTGCTGAAGATGGGGGACAGACCGCTTATGGGATTGTCCCGAGTGCTGTGATGTTGATTCTTAATTTAGCATGTATGGTATATCATTGCCTTTTCTCTGTGATTTAAGAACCAACATCTTAGCACATGGGACATTCCCATAAGAGCTCTTTCCCCATCTACAGCAGTCATCTGATAGTTTTAGTTCAGATGGTGTAAGTAACAATCTGATTGTTTGTCCTTCTCACCCCTCCATGGAGTGTCGAGTGTCGGTCAGATCTTGTGGTCATTCCTCGCTGTACCATTCTCTTAAGACCATAATGGTCTGTTTGTGACTCACTCTCAAATTGCCCTTATAACATCTAGCTTGTCATGCATCAGTTTACCACCAAGTGGTGCAGAACCAGCCAGTCTATCTGCCTGTTTATTACCCAACACATGAGTATGACCTGGAGATAATATATCTCAAGGATGCTAACTACCCAGGACCTCTTAGGCGATGCTTGCCACTCTGCACCGAGCATGCCTATCTTGCATTCGTTTTAAATGGACAAACTATTTTATATATAGCCACTTGACTAGAGCAGTCACTATGAACTTGAATTAGGATTTTATTTTCCTTCCTGGCAGAAAAAATCTGTTAATTTACTGAAAATTTGAACCTGGGTCTCTGGATTGAGAGGCCAACTGCACAGAATTATAATCTGTAAAATATATGTATTTCCACAGACATGACAAATCCGAGTCCCTAAGCTACACCCTTGGCGACATGAAGATCACAAGTCTGGATCACTTTCGACTACCCCTGCTGAACCTCCCAGAAAGTTTCTACATCCTGGGTTTGATCCCCCTTGGTGTATTCAACAGTGCCGGGGTCTGGTTACTGGGCATCAGCTCCCGGTTACCATTCTTGCCACTGTTGCTGACTTCCCTGTACTGTTCTGTCGGTGTCATCTACTGCTGGGTGGAGTTTTATGTGTTGTCTTACAGTAGGACGTCAGCGACAGGCAGTGGGGATATCAGGCATAAAAGGAAGAAGTTATAGTGGAAGTTTATAGTTGTTACAGAAATTATTGAATGATATGAAGATCAACCTAGACAAAACAGAAGTGATGACATTCTTCAGAAAAGTAAGAACCACCAGTGTAAAAATTGATGAACACCAGTTAAAGCAGGCGAAGGATTTTATATATGTGGGAAGCATTTTGTTCAAAAGGTGGAAGAATTAATTTTTTTTTTAAAGTCCAACATAGATGCAATAAATCCTGTCAAGTTTTAGGCCAAATGGCATGTAAATATATACACTAAAAGAGGACTGTTCAACACAGTATTCTTACTAACGCTGTGCTGTGAGTGTCAAACATGGACACTGTCTTCAGAAGACAGATGGAAAAAAGTAATGAAAGAAATTAAATGTTTATGTACTATGCTAGGTGTAACAAGAACAGATCGACTTAGGAACAATATCAGGAGGAGAGTCGGCACAGAACCAATACTGAACCTTATAGGTAGACAACAAATCAAATGGTTTGGCCATGTAACAAGATTGGCATCAGACAGGGCACCACAGAGAGCATTGTTATACAGATGCAGCGGCAACAGAGCCAGAGGTTGACCACACAGAAGATGGACCGCAGAAATATTAGAGACACTGGAAAGTACTTTATACAAAGCGAACAGAGGGGCCCGTTCCAGAAATCTCTTCCTGCTGTGACGCCGCAAGGCATTCCAGGAGTTGAGAAAAGAAGAAATAAATAAAGAGACAAATTAAACATTTTGACTTATAAAGACAAATTCTTTATCTTGGAAGGCTAAGTTGAAGGCAAGCTTGCATTGATACAAATGGGAGAATAACACTAACAGTTGGGCAAACAGACTTCAGTGGCCGATGTTTGAGATGTACGGCAGAGAAGAAGAAGAAAATAAAGAACTTCAATTCCTATAGCTGTTGAAAGAAATACTGATTTTAGAGCTGACATTGTAGCATAGCCATAGATGCTGTGTCCTGCAGCAGATGTCTTTAGGTGTAATTGTTGCAAGAAATAAAAAAAATAGATGTGAAATATTTCAGCTGCATGAAAAGGCATGACTTCTTGTTCCCTCCAGTCTGCTTAATGAAGTGTTGAGGGAGAGGTAAGGATCTTCTTTATGCTCTTTCTAATGTGTTGCATAAAGTTGATCTTCATTTCTTTGATGCTGTTCTTAATACCATCATTCCATCTTTCCATCTTTCTTATACACAGTCTTTCATTTCTCTGAGTTAATTATATTTCTTCAGTGTAGCTCTCTGTGGTAATTGGTACCAGGACATTTTCATAAGTGACCAAACCATCTCACTTGTTGCTCTTTAATAAACTGTATGGCTGGTTTGAGTCCTAGTTTTTATTTTTTAATAACAGTTATAAACAACACCGTGCTGGAGAAAAAAGTTGATGGCAAACTAGTAAAAGGTAGATGGCGATACAAATGGGGGGATAACAGCAACAGTTGAGCAGATTGTGGTTTTAGAGATTGTTTAAACAGGACAAGAGATAGAGCGTGTTGGAGATCCACTATGGCATACCTTCACAGAGAAGGCAGGTGACTGACAGATATAGGTCTTCGTTTTTTTACTTACATACAGGAGTTGAGATGATACGTTGTTCTGTACAAAAACTGGTATACAGAGTTACTAGTCTTTCCCCAAAAATACAAAATAATACAAAAATAAGCCCTATCATTAAAAAAAAACATGGAGAAGGGGGCTAGAGATTGAAGTTAAAAAGATGCGGGAGGGCTGCATACCATGGTAAAGTCAGGAAGGACTAGGTGTCAATTGGTTGAGGGCCAATGCTCCATTGGGGTTTAGAAGACAGAAGCCCTAGCATTATTTTTCAGGTTGCTCATAAGATAAGCCCGACGCCAAATATCTTCTCGGCGCTGACCATCCGTAAACTCTGGGGGAAAGTTCTGGTTGTTCGTCCACTTCTGGACTAGTTCTTGTTCCAGAACTTGAGTGTTTTGTTGTTGCGTGCACATCTGTTTTGCAGATTAGGCTTATTTTATGCAGACTGTTGGTTCCTCACCTCTCAGGCAGATGCACTCCACTTTGAAGGAATCACAATTAATTAGTCACTTTTTACAGCACGCTTAATGGGGAAAAGCTGGGGGGGGGGGGGGGGGGGGGGGGGGGGAGGGGGTTATTATTTTTTCCCCACCTAAATGGATCTCAAGAAGCCACATGGGGTACACCAGATATAAAACATAGTTCGGTCATGATGGAATGATTTCAGTCATCTGATAAAACACAGTGGCTGTTAAATATAAATAAAGAACATTTTTTACAATAATGCTTTAAAATAAATGATAATATAAATTTCTTTTTTTTTTCCACATGAAAAATATCAGAAATCTAAAAATCAGCCTCAAGACAACTTTTTGAAAGAAAAATTCATCTATGTCCTGGTCTTATTTTTTGAGAAAACACTGTAGAGCATATCAGTCCAGTTTTGTTACTGCCCTGAAATGTATTTTTGAGAAATTATTGTGTGGGTTTTCCCTTGTCTTCCGCACATTCAAGGTGTAAATTTTTTAAAAGCTCGTTTTATGCAGAGTTGTATTTTCTGATTTAGTGAGTGTTGTTGAGTCTTGTTGTGATTGCTGTGCTGTGATGATTGTCAAATTTTGGATTGACCACTATACTCTTGTAATTGTCAGGTGTTGGCTTTATCTATGTATACTTGTAATTGTCAGGTGTTGGCTTTATCCATGTATACTTGTAATTGTCAAGTGTGGGATTGATCAATGTTCTTGTGATTTGAATATGTGAGATTAATCAGTGTGATTTCCAAGTGTGTTCTTATGATTTGAATGTGTGGGATTGATCAGTGTTCTTGTGATTTGAATGTGTGGGATTGAACAGTGTGATCATGGGATTGTCAAGTGTTGGATTGATCAGTTGGGATCATCAAGTGTTGGTTTAATCAGTGTGATCTTGGGATTTTCAAGTGTTGAATTGAATTGATCAGTGTGATCTTGTTGTTGTCAAATGTTGGACACAAAAACAACAAACACTAAGTATATTTGCCAGTAATAAATAATGTGAACAGAAAATGTTATATGATCTCAATAAGTTTTTTAATATGCTACAAAACATGAAACTAAGCCAAGGGCTAAACAACAGGATATGGTAACTATCAATTTAAAAATACAAACAGAATATTTATCAGTAATAAACAATTTTAATAAAACGTTATATTTTCCATGTCTTCGCACTCACCAGCTGTGAACCCCAGTGAAAAGTTCTGGCTGTTCGGTCACTTCTGGACTTGAGTTTTAGTGTTCACATCCGTTTCACAGACCTATCTAACTTATGTGTATGCAGACTGTTGTTTCCTTGCCTCTCATGTAGTTGCACCTAATTGGTTGTATTGTATGACACCCTTGTTGGGCTGGAAAGTGGGGGGGGTCTGTTTTTTTCCTTCCCAAAAATGAAGCCCCAGAACCCATATAGGCAAAATATTTTATATGATCTCAGACTGTTTTTACTTCACAACTCGTGTCCACGACAAAATATCAAAAACAGATTTGTGCCTTCCACAAAATGGAGTTTGGCTGCATGGGATGTGAGAACACATTTGTGCGTATTGCATGGTGAAGTCCTAGACTCTTCCTCGTTGTCATTGTTCCATGTCAGAAATTGAAAAGTGATTTTTTTTTAAATTTGTAAATTTAAATAATGCAGACGCAAACAGTAAATTGCATAATTTATAACCTTGGCATATTTTGCTGTATCTCGTCATGTATGTTCATTGTGTGGGTTCTGGGGCTCATATTTTGTTGAGGGGAAAAAAAAAAAAAAAAGAACAGACTACTTCTCATTGGCCTGTGGAGTTTACGTTCCATGGTTGTTCTTTCTGGGACAAAAAGTTTGCCTTTATGTGTCATATTCGGTGCTCTGCTGTCGGGGGCCACTTTCCATATGTGCACATGGCTGATATCTTAATCCTATCTTGAATTTCATGTACATGCAGTTGCATAATTGGTTGTGCTGTTTTGAGACGAAGGATAATGACTTGTTCTGATCTGTCCACAATAAAACAGTCATATTGTGCTGGTGGTTTCCCGATCAATTTAATGATCTACTTCTTTTGGTGGTATGTAACTGGTACATCCGGCTGCTCTTTTGTGGCTTTCCCCTGCCAAGTGATCAGCTGTCTCACAGGCATGTTGTAGCAGCCGATTAATTAGGAGTCTACTGAAATTGGATGGTTTGGGCCAAATAGTGTAGATACCGCAGCCAAGCTGTAGATCACACTACATAACGTCAACCACCTTTTTTATTTTTTCAGTCCCACCCTGCAGTTACTTTATTTAACTTCTATTCCTACAGGTGCTAGTTTGAAGTAGACACTTTCGAGTCCAAAGAAGTTGAAAGATATTATTAACACTAGAGACAAGTGTAAAGCTAACAGTTTGGGCATAATGAGTTTACAAGAGAATTTACACAAGTGTGCACTGTCTTTGAGTAACTAATTAGTATATTCTTTGAGTAACTATTTAGTGTATAAGGAATTACACAGTATGAAAGAGTTAAGGGCAAACAGAAGAATTACCCTGGTATGTTAAGGATTGTGAAACCTGTTACCAACCTCTAAGCCATGGAGTTATGCATGTTGCATTCTGTTCCTATTCCTATTTACACTATTACAAGATCTGTAGTGTTGAAAAAGAATTCTTGATTCCTACTGTTTGTGTTTACATTCACTGGCTGTGAACTCCAGTGCAAAGTCCTGGCTGTTCATCCGTTTGGGTTTTGGCTTTGTGCCAGGACTTAAGTTTTTGCATGTACATTTATGTTGATTATCTGCAGTACAAAGTATGAATCATGTACATGGATTTTGGTTATGAAAGCTGTACAACAGTTAACGTTAACATTAACTGATTAAACAAAAAAAAAAACATTAGGTAAAATGAAAAAAATAACACTAACACGTAAACATTTGGATCAGAAATAACTGATTAAACAAGTTAATGCTGCGGGCAGACATAATTGCAAACATTAAAGAGCCTAGACTATAAACAGAATGAGAGTTGCATAAACTAAAGCATTTAGAAAGTACACAGCTATGATGCAAATAACAAAATCAATCTTTTTACAAACACACATGGGAATATAATTAATGTACACAGAGATGATATTTGTATTCAAGTGTGATCAATTTCTTCACATAATGAAGAAACAAATGATTATGAAATATTTTTTATACTACTGTATTGGAAATCTGGCCAGTTTAAGTTGCTACTAGCATTAAAACATGCCTCTAGAACAAATCTCCAAGATTCTTGCATCAAGAGGTTCTGCAACTTGCAGATATTTTACTGCTTATTTATGAAAAGGAACCGCCGTGGTGTAGCACTTAGAAGTACACCTGTGGATCCAAAGGTGGGAGGTTTGAGTCCGAATGGGATTTTGTTTAAAAATGACCTTGGCCTCCAGATCAACTCAGCCTTGAGTGGGTGTCAGCCAAGTCATGGGAAGTAAAGACTGCCAGAATGATGTTGACCAAATAACTGAGTGCAGAATGGGTCTATAAAACACAGGTCTAGCCCTATATGCCCAAAGGCATGGATGGAAAAGGGTCCTTTAATTGTTTCTTCTATTATTTATTAAAAAGAAACAAAAATACTTGCTATGGGTCTTCACCCTTTCAGTTCCAAATAACACACAGCGAATGACTGCATTTACTCGTACACACCAATCAAATTATTGTGCTTGTATATTGTTTGTTAGGACACTGTAAAACACCCATTAACACACAAGACTCCTAAATGTATTTAGATCCTGTGGATGTAGTGTACCCATGAGTTTGTTGCTGTCACTATCTGTACATCAGCTATGAGCTATCAGGACTGAGAGAGTCACTATTTCAGTATTTACATGTGTAGCTGTTAATTGAAATAACTGAAAGAATGCTTGTCTCTCTGTTGGTCAATAAGTCTATATCAGGTTGACATTCTATGAAGCAGGAGATTACGTTCAATGCTCTGTCACGGAACAGACAACTATTCATCAATCTTCTGATGATGTTTTCCCCACTTGTATCACTGTCTACCTCTTGCTCAGCAGCCTGTAACTTTTCCCTCCAGGATGGTTTACTAAAAATATAATGTTTTTCAACACTCAGGGAATTAGCAAGACAGGCATACATTTAAACTGCTACGGGTACCATGCGAACTGGAGCTCTGCACTGTTTGCTGAAGAGGGACTGGAGTGGTTATGGGAATGGGAAAGGTTCTATGATGCTGTTCTCAACTCAGTTCTTGTCTTTAAAATCTCTCTCAACTCTCTTTTCATTCTCAACGTTGTTTTTAGCTACCTCTCCAGAGCAATAGTTAAACTTTCTAATTATTTTTCCATTGTCCACGTTTCTGGGACATAACACATAACAGATTTTATATTAGTTATATCTTTTTTTTAAATTGCAGTAACACCCATGATGCTCATTTTTTTTTTTTAATTTTATTTCACCAATGTCATGCTACTGCATGTCCAAGATAGTGAGATGTGTTACTTGTTCTACCATTTGTACAAGGCATTAGAAAGAATGTATAGAAAATCATTACACATCTCACAACTCCCCTTCCATGAGGTAACTGGAAGAGAGAGGATCAAACAAACTTTATTTTCAAAGGGGGCACAAGTTGGATGAAGGATTGTCTTAGATTCGGCCCCACCAAACACTCATCTTTGAAACTGCAATTGTATTTTATCCATAAACCATGTCATGTTCATATGAAGAAGTGGAGAAGAAAAAGACTAAGATGTTTATTGCTGGTCTTTACACTTTTAATCACCACACAGGCTCAAACAATAACGCTTTCTTCTTTATAGTATACGTGCACAATGCTATCTTCTTTATAGTATATGTGCACAATGCTATCTTCTTTATAGTATACGTGCACAATGCTATCTTCTTTATAGTATACGTGCACAATGCTATCTTCTCTATTGTATACGTGCACAATGCTATCTTCTTTATAGTATACGTGCACAATGCTATCTTCTCTATAGTATACGTGCAGAATGCTATCTTCTTTATAGTATACGTGCACAATGCTATCTTCTCTATAGTATACGTGCACAATGCTATCTTCTTTGTAGTATAAATGCACAATTCTTCAGCAACATTTCTCTTGGAAAAATTTTCTTAGATTCAGTAAAGACAAACTACCAAAAAATTAAACTCAAAAAAAAATACAAACATTATCAGTTATAACTGAAACGTGCCAACAACAAATAAAAAAAATGAAGCAAAACCAACAAGAATAAAGAAAACAGAAATGGACCTTGCTTGAGGTTTTAAAAAAACCCAGCTAGGCTTACATTCTATTAGGAAGTACTGCTAATTGACATAATGAATTAATAAAATTACAATAACAAAATTTTTTAAGAAAACAAACAAATACTGAGAACCAAAAACGAAAATGAAATTCCCCCCCCCCCCCCCCCAAAAAAGTTCACAAGATTACCGATCAAAATTACCCTAATTTCAGGAGGTATTACAAGATAACCACCTTCTCCCAAGAGGTTTTGGTAATAACGACTTTCTCCCAGGAGACACAGCTAATTGGCACAGTCGTCTTCCAGGGCTGTTTTCATGAGTGTGTACTGACCATTCCTGCTGGTGGAACGGAAACAAGTCAGCCCTAGTTTGACGCAGAATGCAAGAGAAATGGCACCAACGAAAAATGTTGACATGATTGACGACAGATTTCCTGGATTGTAATTCTCAGCCACAGAGCCAGCCAGTGTCCAGATAACAACGACATACGGCGTCAGACAATATCTGGTGTAACGCGCAATCAAAGTGGAATCCAGGATGACATAAACCAGAGACATAAATGCAAGAACACTGACACAAAGAATAGCTGTAACCTCTTCGGAGAGCTGCCGATCCCATTTGTACACCAAAATCATGCCCAGATTTAACAGTGCACAAACGACAGCCCACGTGGCATACATTGCCACACTGTTGACAACCGTTATTTGTAAGAATTTCAACTCTTTGAATCGGTTCTGGTCAATTAAAGTGTCCTTAAACATCACCATCCTGGAAGCGACAATGGCAGTTGTGAGAATTAAGGAAAGAGCAATACAAGCAAGAAACATGAAAGAAGCCAAATGCAATAACTTGTCCCACAAAAACAACCAGCCAATATTGAAAACTGAGCTGAGGTTAAAGAAGATGTAGAACGCAGGTGAGAGGATGACGGGATTCAGGTATGCAGGCTCCTGGCTGACCTCAAGGCAGGTAAGCACGAGGCTGTAGGTCACCCACAGCAGCTGCAATAGGTAGATGACTGCTCCGATGTAGAATGTCCACCAAGCTGGCATAAAGTTGAATGACAAAACTCTGGCCACGTTCACAGTTCCATGTTGAAAAAGACCTGCACAAAAAAGATTCTCTTGTTTAATTTTCAAAATGGTTTGGTGTTCTATTTTCACTTTAAAAAAGTAAATGTATAAAGTAATATTACAGTAAAAATATTGCAATAAACTGTAAAGATATTGTTACATTTACGAGTAAAGAAAATAGCATAGTTAAGTACAAAATTATCATATCAAAGGAATAAAGGAAGTAATGTCAAAGTTGAAAGGTAAAGAAAGTATTAAACAGTTTAATATTGTCACATTGAAAAGTAAGTGTTTTCCAGACTAGAAGTTAAATGACTCTGAATCAATAAAAGAACGGAGAAAAGAAAATATAAACGTACCTGAACTATGATGTGGAGCCACGGCCAGACAATTCAAGACCAACACAGCCAAATAAAGAATAAATGTAAACACGATGAGGGTGACAAAAACTGGGCTGCTTCTCAGCTTACGTTCAACAATGTGGACAGATTTAGCAGCCTTCTGGCCAACTGTCAACTTTGGGGATGTCATTCTGGAAAAAAAAAATACATATTTATATCTCTGTATGTTGATTAGTGATTAGGTTTGACATAAAAGACACAGAATATATGAGTTAACACACTTTCATACTTTGGTATTTGTTTTCCATGTCCTAGCACCTCCGTCTGACATATTTGTGCTCCGTTTGACATACTTGTGCTCTGTCTGACATACTTGTGCTCCGTCTGACATACTTGTGCTCCGTTTGACATACTTGTGCTCCGTCTGAAATACTCGTGCTCTGTCTGACATACTTGTGCTCTGTCTGACATACTTGTGCTCCGTTTGACATACTTGTGCTCCGTTTGAAATACTTGTGCTCCGTCTGAAATACTTGTGCTCCGTCTGAAATACTTGTGCTCTGTCTGAAATACTTGTGCTCCGTCTGAAATACTTGTGCTCCGTCTGAAATACTTGTGCTCTGTCTGAAATACTTGTGCTCTGTCTGACATACTTGTGCTCTGTCTGACATACTGGTGCTCTGTCTGAAATACTGGTGCTCTGTCTGAAATACTGGTGCTCTGTCTGAAATACTGGTGCTCTGTCTGAAATACTTGTGCTCCGTCTGACATACTGGTGCTCTGTCTGAAATACTTGTGCTCCGTCTGAAATACTGGTGCTCCGTCTGACATACTGGTGCTCTGTCTGACATACTGGTGCTCTGTCTGACATACTTGTGCTCTGTCTGACATACTTGTGCTCCGTCTCAAATACAGGTGCTCCGTGCTCTCATATGGCAGCTATCTGTGAATCCTCATGCTTACAGTACACATTAGGAGTTGACTAGCATACCTATCTTTCTTTGCCCTAAAACCAGTTTCTGAATGTTGAATTATAAATCAACATCACAGCACTCAGGACATTTCTATAAGCGATCCATCCCCATCTTCAGCAGCAAGTGCAGGACTTTTTTTCTGACGGCACCAGTAACAGTCTGACTGTATCTCCATCTCACCTTTCACTTGAGTGTTCAATGTCAGGTCGGCCAGATCCCCTGGTCACTCCTTGCAGCACCATTCTTCTCCGACTATGATAATCTATTTTGCCTTTGCACTATTTACTCGCTCTTAAAGTATTTAGCATGTCATACATCAATTTTGGAATGCTTGTCCTCGTTTGTCATCATTTCTGCTGACTCCTCTTGTCTCAGCGTCTCTGGCATGCAGCACATTCAGTATGTCTGCCCTGTCCGTACTTCTTTATCCACTAACTACACTGCAGACAGTCAGTTTGTTGGCTCTTTTATTTCCTTTCACCCCGCTGTGTACTGCCAATATAGCTGCGTGAGGTGGGACTTCTGGATGTCAAGCCATTCTAGTAAGAGTTTGTCAGTTTAGATATTTTCATACACTGTGTACTACTTTGCATACAAAAGCATCAACAGCACTCAGTTCTCATGGTATATGTTTTCTTTAAATATATACACACACAGATACACATAAAACCTGCTAGCACATGATTAAACTTGGGGAGTGGCGGGTTAAGTACAGTCGAGGAAGACCATCAAAATAAGTTTAAACAATGAAATTTGTCAAGGAAAAGAAGAAAGCATAAGTGAAAGAAAAGAAAACTGGCCAGGAGGATGACAAACTGACATGGGTTGTACAAGTTGGTCTTCTTTTTTTTAAGGTTCTTTCAGTTTGCGTTGTTCATTATTCTACTTTACACCACAATATTTGAAGAACAGGTTGAAGGATAAATTATAAAGGTTACTTCTAGACATTTTAATCACTTCTTTTAATTGCCAGCCCATTTTAGAGTTTCTAATGGTCATCCTTATTTTCTGAGTTCATTTGTTTCCCATTTCAGTGCCTGTTTGGTAATTCTCTGAATTATTTTGTTAAGGCATTGTTAACATGCTAGTATCATATCTGATGTTGTGTTTATCAGTTTTTTCAGGTATTTGAATTTGTTTGCAAAAACACTTTCATTCTTTACGTCTTCTATGTTCTCTACCTTACTAGCATAGTTTATGGCTGAAATAACATTAAAATTAACAAAATAACAAATACTGAATCTAATTTTAAAACATGCAGAGCTCCATATAACTTTAAAAAGCTGCTTTTGCCTTCGGATGCTTTTATCATAATTTCTTTTTCCTCTGTAATCATAGTTCAACTAAACAAACTTAGGCCATCAAACATTTTTTACTTTAAAATTAAAATAATGTATTCAATTCTTTTGTTTTCAAATTCAGTGGAATAACTTATCCCACTGTAAATTTAATGACAGCAAAAGAATTAAATATATTATTAATTAAATGAAAAAGTAATAATTATCCTAATTATTATATATTATAATATTAATAATATTATCTAAGAGCATATCAGTCACTGAATTTTGTTGGAATCCTAGGTACCGTAAATTATAGTCAAAGGCACCAGACTTTCAGACTTGACCAAACTGGATAAAGTATGAGGCTTATTTTATTGATTCTTATGGCGGGCATCAATAGTTTAACTACTAAATAATACTTATTATTATTATGTATAAGTCGAGTATCATCATGATCAATGATCTTATTTTCTTGATTGTAAAGTAAAGTCACTAAAAAAGAGAAACACACACAAAAGACTGTTCGTCTTCAGTATCAAACAGTCACATTTACTTCGAGAAACTTCAACCTTTATGTGAAGCAAGATAACTTGATTCCCAGTCGTGGCTTTTTATTATGCCTACCTGCACTTGCCTTTTAGTTTCTGTAGCGTCCTCGCTGTTCGGGACGAAGTCAGTGTATCATTGTGCTTCTGCCTGGGAGTTTAGGCGACACACTTCCTACTTCCGGAAAAACAAACTCAGGTATCATGTGATCTACACCTGGCCCAGGTAAAAACTAAACAAAGATTCTGAGCAATTTTGAAACAAAAGTGCCGAAATCATCTGGGAACTCATGTGTCTTTATCCCCCGAAACATTTTATTTTAAGCCCCCTTCGCCTACAATTTGTAGGCGGGAGGTGAAATAAGTGCCACTCTCCCTAAACATTCTCTTAATTTGTGCATTTCATTCCACTTTAAATATTGCATTATATTTATTTGCCACTTAGCACGTAATAATAATTATTATACGTAATTATTATTACATGCTTAGGACCTGTTCACGTTTCCCGGCCCATTTACACACGTTCACAATCTGATCTAAGTCAGAAGATTGTCACGTTGTACTGCTTTTTTCGAAAAGAGTCTCATGTGTCTGAGGCTGTGGGTAGGGGGTTTAGTTTAGGGCCTATCCTTATGTTCTGGGATCGTTAAACGCTATGACGTCGTCTAGTATAAAACATGCGAAAGTATAAATGAAAAGTCAGGGGGAGTATAAATGGGCTGGGAAACGCGAACAGGACCCACGCTTAGGCAAGGATTAAACACTGTAGTTACAGAAGTGTTGTATTTCATGGGTACCAAAATAAAAAAATTCATAGGTTCTCGAGAGACTGAAAAGTGAGTAGCTGGGGAGGGGGACAAAGGAGAAACAACATACCCATTCATTGTCATTACCAGAAATCAGAACACTTATTAGGGGAAAATACAAGGGATTGTGGAAAGAACAAACTAACAGTAAATATCCACAAGGCCCCATTAGCAAACTCAACAGAAAGCAACATACAACAATTTTCCGTCTACGAACAGGACACTGCAGGCTCACCTACCACTGACATAAAATAAAGATAGTACAGTCCCCACAGTATTCATCATCTCGTCATCCCTTTATTGAATGCAATTTTTCGTTATTTGAAGCCCTACTCTGGCTCTTGCCAGGGGCCGTAATATAACCTAGCCATAAATATGGACTAATGGCTGAACCTGGTTTCTGGGACCTCTCCACGGGTGATCCAGGTCTCTCGGCAGTATCCCTACCGACGGCCCTGGTGATCCTAAACATGGAACTTTGGTCCTCGGGTTGTTAGCTTGTTTGATGTCTCTGGTGTGATAAAAGAAGATAGATAGATAGATAGATAGATAGATAGATAGATAGATAGATAGATAGATAGATAGATAGATAGATAGATAGATAGATAGATAGATAGATAGATAGATAGATAGATAGATAGATAGATAGATAGATAGATAGATAGATAGATAGATAGATAGATAGATAGATAGATAGAGATAGATAGATAGATAGATAGATAGATAGATAGATAGATAGATAGATAGATAGATAGATAGATAGATAGATAGATAGATAGATAGATAGATAGATAGATCCCCACAGTGTGCCTGTCAGACAAGACGACTGTCATGATCGGGGAAGGGATAGAGAGTTTGTTTGTTTTAGTATCCAGAAGCCATGAGTTGTTAACCCTTAGGCTCGGTACTATGGATATCGCAACCTTTCGGCCTTGATTCCATTGTAAATACCGTAAATCTGGGAGAAATGTGACTTTCCTGCCTACCCCCGGGATTGAACCCGGACCACAAGGAGTTCGTAACCCGATCTCCGCGCAATCCGGTTTAGCCAACTACGCTAGAGAGCCGGGCAAGGGAGAGAGAGGGAGAGAGAGAGAGACAGATAAAGGGGGTGGGGGGGGGGAGAGACTGCTGGCAAATCACTAATCATGTGATTGTCACGATGTGCACAGGGTACACGCTAACCACCTGAAGTAAGGACAAGTGAGCTCGGGTTGTGAATCGGCTTGGGACAGTAGTGGATCGGACGTCCTGGCGGACGGTCTGGACAATTTTAGTGTGGCCATGCCTCGTGAATAGTGGTTTTAGTTACTGAGTTAGATAATATGTTGAATTATTTAGAATTATTTAGAACGATGTAGAAAATGATAATATAATAAAGGAAACAGTAAAAGAGCGCAACACGTTGTATCTACATCAGATGTTCTCGTGTGGATTATGACCACATTCTGGTACAGTTTGTTCGTGTTGGGACTCGTCCGAGCACATTCTGCAGACCTGCCCACTCTAAATACAACTTCGGAAAGACACCTGGCCTCAAGAGCAAAGTGTGCAGAGCAAGCTATGGGGAACCACGAAGGACCTGCTACTGACATGAGAGTTTATAAAGGCAACCCACCTAATTGTCTGATCTGAGCATACGTAACCGAACACACAGAAAAAAAAAAAAGATGAAGAAATAGAAAAAGGAAAAAAGCATACAATATATTCAAATTATAACCCGGAAGGCTTCAACGGGATATTGTTGAATTACTACAACTAACAACACAAGAGAACAAAACCTACAATACACAACACAAGATAACATAACATAACATCAAAGTAACATCCACGCCTTTCAGGCATTTTTTGGTATATAGGGTTAGACCTATATTTTATAGACCAAATGGCCCTTGATGGGTATGTCACCATCACGTCGGCCGCCTTTACTTCCCAGGACGGCACCTTGTACCCACTCAAAGCTGGGTCGACCTGGGAGCAAGGTCGCTTTTGAAAAAAGTCAGGTCCCATAATATAACATAAAGAACACAGCAAAACACAGCACAGCCTAACGCAACAGAACACAACACAGTATGACACAACGCAAGATAACGGTGAGATGTTCAAGATAATCAATGTTGAAGGGAAACAGAGGCAGACTTTTAATTAAGTTGTAGCTGGTGTTTTTAGCATGTGAACTCTTCGCTGGTTGCTGAGGATGGGGCGGAGCACGTATGGGAATGTCACGAGTGACATTTAAATAAATTTTAAAGTAAATTTTCGACATCATTCACACCGGGAATACCCATAGATGCTCATTCTCTCGCAGCAAATGACGTAAGGTGTTCCCGTATCATACTGATTATACACACGCCGATCTCTTCCTCTCACCCGTCCCTGCTTGCCAGATCCACACTTAATTCCTCGTGCACACTTTCTTGCCCATGTTATTGCGTCTAATCTCGTGTCTTCTGCCAAAAGTCGCTCGTATATGGTCTTCAGAATATCTTCCTTGTCCAATACGAGTGCAGTTATGTCAATTTTTGATTGATTGATTCTTTCATTCCTTTTAATTTTTTCTTCTGTTTTTGAGATCATCATCTTCTTCGCAGATAACCATAAGTTTTCCGATCTACTCCTGAGTTTGTCTTAACAACGCCCATTCTGTTCTGGTCAGTGTTGCCACTTTTCTTTGACAAAAAAACACACATCTAAAACGGAGTCAAAAATATCTAAAAACATATAAATGTGCGTGGAAAACATCTAAAAAACACCCAAATTGAAAGAGTCACAAATTACATACCAATTGATACGACTTACTCTATAGAAACATGTCCTCATCTTTACTGAATTCTGCCTTACAAGATCCACAGGATAAACTTAGCTTGGATGATGAAGTTCAAGCTTCAGATTCAAAATGACTCTGGTGTGCTTTAGCTATTCTAATTTCTTTTAATACCCAATCAGGGAGCTGATAAGTGGAACAGCCTTTTCCTATTCTTATCAGGTCGAATATTATTGTAAAGATAGCATTTAAGAGGTCAAATTTCATCCTGTTTCATACGCTGGATTTGATAAATTCACTCCAAATGAAAATTTTTTTAGAGAAACATCTACCATCTGAACGCCAAAAATGCCATCTAAATGCAAAAAAAAAAAAAAAAAAAAAAAACATCTAAATCTGGATGTATAAAATTCAAAGTGGCAACACTGGTTCTGGTTGATGTAACGACGGGTGGCTCCAGCATGGTTTTTCTGTCTCGCGGCTCCAGTTTGTACACCCAGGGTTTGTAGTCTATTCAGTGACAAAATCATTTTCCATGAAACTGAAAGCTCCTTAGTGTTTAATCTCTCGAATGGCATCCCCGGAGTCTCTCCTGTCCATTGTCATTATCGAGTGCCTTACCGAATGGATCTGCGATCCTCAGCTGCGTGGGTACTTTGATGTTACACGACCGCATCTATAAATCGGCAACGAGATTTGGTAGGGAATCCTTAGGTATTCCTAGGGGTTTCCCTGGACCATACCACCTTATAGGGAAAGGTGGGGGTGAGGGTTAGGGCTAGTGTTAAATGAATAGCAACTACTATTAACCCTAACCTCAACAACAACCCCCCCCCCCCCCCCCATATTATGGAACGTTCTGGGGATTTCAGTACCAGATCTGGCCTGATGTGGTCGTGAAGATAAAAGAATCTCTGCGTGTATCTATCAGTTCATGTGCTGACACCCCTCCATGCCACGACGAAAGAATCTTCTCACCCAGTCTTCCTCTGTCTCACTTTTCACAGAGATCTTTCTAGTGTTAACAACATGTTCCATTTTCCCTCTTCTTATGATATAACCAAAAAATGATGACTGTCTCTTTTTTATGTTTGTGTAAGTTTGAAGTTTGAACAACGAATCAACATCATGGCACACGGATAGTAATCCATAAGTGCTCCGTTCTTCTTCTAACTGAAGTCTGAGTCCGAAAAAGCTCAACTCAGTGCACAAGCTCTGTAGCACCGGCTGGGATCCTGAAATACTTTGGGTAAATATTTAACTCCAAATTTTACCAGGGCAACGCCGTTAGGCTACTCTTTTCTATTTTCAACTGCCAAGGGATTTTTTAAATATCTTTTTTGAAGTAATGTCAATGGGAAAAAATAAGACAGATCTAAACATAGCAATAGAGTGCAAAGGCATTAAACAGACATCTGAGTTTAAATATCTGGGAACTACATTTACCGAAGATTGGAAATTAGATAAAGAAATTAACATTAGATGCAGTAAAGCAAACCAAGTATTGGGACAGCTAGCTCCCCTCTTACAATATATGACAATCCCAATCAGCACAAAGAGACATCTTATTCAAAGCATATTTATTCCAACTCTGTGCTACCAGTGCCAGACATGGTCACTCACAACAAACCATTAAAAAAAAAATTAGTAACCACGGAAAGAGATGTCTGAGAAGGGCTGTAGGAGTGACCATAAGAGAAATCAGGAATGAGATCATAAGAGAAAAAGTCGACACAGAACCAATTCTAAATTACATACGAAGACAGCAAGTGAAATGGTTTGCCCACTTAGAGAGAATGCCTTGTGACACCATACCATACAAAGCATACATGGAAAGAGAAGAAGGACGTAGAGCACGAGGTAGACCAAGAACAAGATGGAAGGATAACATCAGAGAAACTCTACAACAGCACGATGTGCCTATGGTAGAGTCGGCCAGAAGAGCTAGAGACAGAACCTTATATCTCCCTCGACACCCACAGCGGAAAAAGAGGAAGTGAAGAAGAAGAAGAAGAAGAAGTTTACGTGCGCAACAATGCACACGGGCGTCCGATCTCACTTCCCAGAGACTAGGCGAAATTACTAGAAGTCAGCAATCGAGGCTGACACCATGCCTCGAGACCACGCAGCCCCCTTTATATTTCTGAATACGTGAAGAAATGTGATAAGTTATCTTCGTGCACTCGCCTCTTTCAAAACATGTAGTTTGCTCTTCTTAGCCGTCCAAGGAATTTTAAGTATTCTTCTGTAAAACCACATCCATAGATGGCCAATTCTTGATAGTCGCACTGCCAGACAGGGCGTTTGCTCGTTCATTCATTGATTCATCAATCATTCATTCATTTATTTATTCATTCATTCATTCATCATTCATTCACTCACACGATAACAGATCACCAAACAACCAGAGTGGTCTCGCCTGACGGAAACCTGTACAGATCACAACAACTGCGGGCCGCCAGCAGACGGGAGAAGAACTGTCGTTGTTGTTCTTGTTGCTGTTGTAATGCTTTCTTTGCCCACACTCTTGTTTTCTGCCTTCAAGCGACCCTTACCACTGATCACAGGTAAATTTAGTCATTTACGTCCTTTCGATAATTATTTCGTTACTTCTGAAAGTCCAGACATAAATAAGTTAACCGTTGTCTCTAAGGATCGAGTGTCAAGACCGGGTGACTGTCGCTTGTCAGCGCTTTCTTATTCTTTTCAGGGTTCACCGGCTTCAAACTCCGGCGGAAAGTTCTGTTTGTTCGTCCACTTCTTGAGATTAACATTCACAGCCCTTTTACAGATCTGGCTTATTTGTATGCAGGCTGTTGGTTCCTCGCATCTCAGGCACACATTGAATTAAGAAATAAACACCCCTAATTAATATTAGTAATTAGTCGACTGTTACGACATGCTTATTTTGCTGGGAGAAGAGGGGGCCCCTTCTTTTCCCCCATACAATCTACAAATGGATTGTCACTTACTAAATATTTAAAAAAGGTGGTTTCAGTTTGATAATTTTTTTGTTAATCAATGAAATTCACTATAGAGGTTGTTCTTTAGGAAGCTGGTTACGTTACACTGTGTCATTAGGCTTTGTTGTGCTTTCCCTAACCTTTGTATGTTCTTTGTCTGTCTTCTTCTGTGAGTGTTTAGAAAGCCAAATATAAGATGGGCCTCTGTGCCCAATTTGTTAACCTTAAAAAATAAAGTTTCTTCTTCTTCTTCATCATCTTCTTCTTCATCTTCTTCTTCATCTTCTTCTTCTGGTCCTCCTCCTCCTTCTTCTTCTTCTTCTTCTTCTTCTTCTTCTTCTTCTTCTTCTTCTTCTTCTTCTTCTTCTTCTTCTTCTTTCTTCTTCTTCTTCTTCTTCTGTTTCTTTTCCATCTTCTTCTTCTTTTCCTTCTTCTTCTTCTTCTTTTCCATCTTCTTCTTCTTCTTCTTCTCTTCTTCTTCTTCTTCTTCTTCTTCTTCTTCTTCTTCTTCTTCTTCTTCTTCTTCTTTTTCTTCTTTCTTCTTCTTTCTTCTTCTCTCTTTTTCTTCTTCTCCTCTTCTCTTCTTCTTCTTCTTCTTCTTCTTCTTCTTCTTCTTCTTCTTCTTCTTCTTCTTCTTCTTCTTCTCCTCCTCCTCCTTCCTTTTCTTCTTCTTTTTCTTCTTCTTCTTTTTCTTCTCCTTCTTCTTCTTCTTCTTCTTCTTTTCCTTCTTCTTCTTCTTCTTCTTCTTCTTCTTCTTCTTTCTTCTTCTTCTTCTTCTTCTTCTTTTCCTTCTTCTTCTTCTTTTTTCCTTCTTCTTCTTTTTCTTCTTCTTCTTCTTCTTCTTCTTCTTCTTCTCCTCCTTCCTTTTCTTCTTCTTTTTCTTCTTCTCCTTTTTCTTCTTCTTCTTCTTCTTCTTCTTCTCCCTCTTCTTTTTCTTCTTCTTCTTTTTGTTCTTCTTGGCTTTAAAAGGGAGTTTCCTCATTGTGTTATGGTATACAGGTGTTAGGTTCCCAAATCCCAAAGATCCCAAACATTATGGTTCTTGATAGGGTAAACCTGCCTAGCATCCATACAATACTGAAGAATTATCAGCTGCGTTGGGCTGGTCACCTAACCCGCATGCCAGAATATTGCCAGCAAGGGAAGAGATCCCAGGGAGGACAGAAAAAAATCGCTATAAGGATTCTCCCAAGACTGCTCTCAATTGTTTTGGCATCAACATATAGACGTGGGAGGATGCTGCACAAGACAGTTCTGCATGGTGTACGTCCCTCAGGCATGGTGCTGGGCGGGCCTGCCAGGCAGCGGAAGTTGCACAGGCAGAGAAACAGAAGCAGACTAGAAAGAATCGTACTGCTAATCCCACACTTACTGCGGCTTCTATCTGTTGTCCTCACTGATCAAGAACTTTCCAGGCTCATATTGGAATAATCAGTCACCTTCGTACTCATAATCATTGATTATTACTACTTTGGATGAAAGTGATCTTCATCACTTGTGATGGACAAACAACAACAACAGCTAGGTTGCAATATCTGCACTTTTTGACCAACAAATCCAACTTCAGCAAACACTTTAATTGGCCGCCTTTCATGATATGCTTCTTTTGGCGGGAGGAGGTCTATGTGGGAGGAGGTCTATGCGGGAGGAGGTCTATGTGGGAGGAGGTCTATGTGGGAGGAGGTCTATGTGGGAGGAGGTCTATGTGGGAGGAGGTCTATGTGGGAGGAGGTCTATGTGGGAGGAGGTCTATGTGGGAGGAGGTCTATGTGGGAGGAGGTCTATGCGGGAGGAGGTCTATGTGGGAGGAGGTCTATGTGGGAGGAGGTCTATTTGTTCCCCTAAAATTGCACTCCAGAACCCATAAAGGGAAGAATACAGACATCAAAGCTGGGTTATATCTCCCAATGTCTGGCTCTTACCCCTCGACCTGTCCAACATTTAACGGATGCACCATAAACAGCTAGGTTGTAAAAGGTAACTATTTAGGAGTTTGCTGGCTGAAATATCACAGCCTATATGTTGTTGTTGTTGTTATCGATCCAGCGGCGCATGAGCTTTCGCCCTTTGGCCCAATGCCATGTAGTGGAATTTGCATGTTTTCACAAGCTGTTCTTTTCCTCCGTACAAGGTGTTCCACTTGTCTGGTCTCGGAGGGAGTAGCGTTCTTCTTGTCTCACTGAGTTTTGGGCACTCAAAGAGATGGTGTTTAACAGTTTCGTAGGGGTAGTTACATAGCTGGCTCTCTGGGTAGTGCTGTGGCTGTATTTTGTTTGGGTGTCCATTGCGTTCTAAGTCTGAAGATGGTGGCCTGGTCCCTTCTTGTTAGATGGTTAATGCTGTCATTAGGATCAGGGCCAGACATATGTCTATAAACCTCTCTTCCAGTGTCTCCCCTATCTGTAAACCATAACCCAGTGTGTCAATAGCTCTTTGAACTCTTCTAGCCAATGGGCGTTTAGCATCAGAGAACTAAGGGGTGGTAATGCAAGATGTATAATCGGCACATCATGAGATTATTGGTCTCCTAGTTAGGAACCAGTGAACGTTCTTTGGGATTAAAGCACTTGAGTGCAAATGCAGTATAAGAAAGAAAATCATATCCCTACTCTGTAATGGTTTTAATTCTTATCTTCTGATATATTTCAGTATGATTTCAGTGAACAGGCTCATAATTAATAGAAGAGTCATTACTGTGATGTTTCAGGCAGTTGTGAACTGACTTGCTGCTGAATCTGACCCACTTGAGTGCACAAGTCTAAATAACCTTGCGACACAATACAAGTGGTTTATAGCTCAAGTCAACTAGTCACTAGCACCATTTATTCCTCCACTGTCATGTGTAAAATTAGAGGACACACCTAATTAACAAAAACCTAATCTTCACTTAAAATTGACGTTGAAACTTGAATAAGGTACCGTTTAATTTTAGTTTGACAAATTTAATGAATCAGCTTTTGTTTCATAACTTTTCAAAAATTTATTGAAACTGGCTCAATGTTGACAAAGCGGTTGTTATTTTGTTTTATTGAATTTGTTTTACTTGATTGTACTTTGTTGATATTGTTAATATATTTTACATACTATATTGTTAGTTAGTAGTTGATGTATGTGTTGTTGTTGAGTGTTCAGCTAAGAACTGATATCACAGCACTCAGAACCTTCTTATAAGTGCTCAATCCTCATTTTCAGCAGCCAGCGAAGAGTTCCACTTCCTATGGTGCCAGTAGCAGTTTGATTGGCTCTACTTTGAACTCCCCCATAAAATGACGGCTGTAATATGATGCCGTTCGAAAGAGAGCTAAATTGGCCATACTTTTCAAACTGCATCAAATAATCGAAGAAAAAATATCAGAATAGGGCAATTTATTTGGCAGTTCTATTAAAAGGCTTTATAAATGCCTTCGGCTCCTATTTTGTGTTATAACATACCGAAAATTGGTAAATCTGCTCTGGTAATCAGGGTTCATAGGCGATATTGTTACTTGTGCCAACCTGCTTCTGCAGCTCACAGTGTGCTCTCACTCAGAAGCGAGCGACGTATACATCCCAGTCGCGCCGCTAAAAATGCGCGGCGTGGATGGGCAGAAAAAACAAGATGCCTGGTGGCCACTTAGCGTCCATTTTGAGGAGGCAGCTGACCGCATCTCCTGCAACTTCCCCCAGCAGTTACCCTTTATTAGCTGGTGAGTCCCAGGACACATCCACCAGCAGGCTTCGCCCCCCAAACGATCCGCACGTAGCGGCGCGGGGGAGTTGTTTGGCGGCGATGACACCTTGAACTTTCGGACTCCGATTCCCTTTTTATGCATGCCGAACAAATTGTCTGCACATCTACCCATGCTGCTCAGTCCTCCAATCGGCAAGAACACAAAGTATTGCTAATCAAAGAAGCTTTCATCGTCTCCTAATCTCGTCTCGAAACGGTAAAATTGTCTTCTCGGTCGCTTTCTATCGTTCTTCTTCTTATCTTCTGCAGAAATGCTTCGAAATTTCTCTATTCGGTCGTTATTTATCGTCATGCTACTTTAACATGTGCAAAGTCCTGGTTGATACTTGATTTTAGTCTTGTAATACTTGAGTTTAGTGGCAGCGATTTTACACCTCTGGTAGAAATGTATCAGACTGTATTTTAGCCTATCACGATGCACTCTAACTTTGAAGGAAACATCTCTAATTATATTTTTGGATATTTTGTTATGGCCATGAATGTGCCATCAATTACGGCCCTGCCATTGGGGGGGGGGGGGGACAGTAAATTTGATCAAATTTAAGATGCCAGTTGTAGTTTGTATTTCATATGTCTAACACAGGAGTCTTGCATCTTGCTTTCTTCTGAGTGTTCACCCTGGTCATTAACTGGCTGATAAAGGAAATGGGTAAGGTGTTTCCATTGTGGGTGGTGGGAATTGTTCCAGTGGGGCTTTAATGGCAGCCTCTATTTGAGTTTTAGTTAAGTACATCCTTTATCTGACTGTTCAGGACAACCTCAAATTTTTGCTAAGTTGTACTCTTTGTTTTTAAAAATGTTACTATGGCCTAGGATCCAATGGAACGCGCAGTCTGCTTGGTTAGTTGACCTTTTGATTTAGCATAGATAAAGCTTACTTGACATGTAGTTGCTTATAATTTGTATTGCTTGCAATAGTGAGTGAGCATCTGTCAGTGAAACCACTTTTGACTGTACACTGAACAATCTCTTGTGTTTTGTGTCCATGTACACAGTTACATGCTGCTGATATTTCCTGAACAATCTCTTGTGTTTTGTGTCCATGTACACAGTTACATGCTGCTGATATTTACTGAACAATCTCTTGTGTTTTGTGCCCATGTACACAGTTACATGCTGCTGATATTTCCTGAACAATCTCTTGTGTTTTGTGTCCATGTACACAGTTACATGCTGCTGATATTCCCTGAACTATCTCTTGTGTTTTGTGTCCATGTACACAGTTACATGCTGCTGATATTCCCTGAACTATCTCTTGTGTTTTGTGTCCATGTACACAGTTACATGCCGCTGATATTTCCTGAATAATCTCTTGTGTTTTGTGTCCATGTACACAGTTACATGCCGCTGATATTTCCTGAACTGTCTCTTGTGTTTTGTGTCCATGCACACAGTTACATATCACTGATATTTACTGAACAATCTCTTGTGTTTTGTGTCCATGTACACAGTTACATGCCGCTGATATTTACTAAACAATCTAGTACCACATTGAAGGAGTTGGATAAAGTGCAAAATCAAGCACTCATAGTCATTACAGGAGGGATGAAATCATTCCCCATATGAGAAATGGAGAAAGCTGGGAAAACACAGGCACTGAGAGAACACAGAGATACAAAGTTGCAGAGACAAGCTGAAAAGATCCTCAGTATGCCAGATCACCACCATGAAAAATAGATTTCAGAACCTAGCCTTGGGACGGTTAAAAAGAAGCAGCTTTATACACCAAGCAAAAAGAATATGTAGACAAACTGCTGACCTTCCAGAAATTGGTTGTCCACTTAAATGTATTCCAGAACAAACCCCATGGAGAGAAAAATACAAACTAACAGTAAAAATCCAGACAAATATGAAAGGAATATTTGACAAGAAAGACAAGATAGTGTACAACACAGAATGGCCACCCTCAGTTATATTGATGAAGATACCCACAAGAACAATGGGTCAGAGTCTATACAGATGGGTCCGCAGAAAGTGCAGTTAGAAATGGGTGGTGCTGGAGTGTACATAGAATTCCCAGATGGTACTATGGATAAGTCCAGCATACCAACCGGAAAGTACTGCCATAACTATGATGCAGAAACTCAGGCTATCAAGATAGCAACAGAGAAACTGCTAATTACCAACCTTGGCTCACAGTATGTGGTAATGCTTACAGATGCTAAATCAGTACTTGAAGCACTCCAGTCTAGGAAACTACCAGAATTGCAAACACTGCTGACACAACTCAGCCTTCAGCGAAGAGTCGTAATGCAGTGGATACCGTCTCATTGTGGAGTGCCTGGAAATAAGAAAGCTGATCAACTGGCAGGAGAAGGTGCGACAAAAGTGCACCCAGATGTACCAGTCACATACCACCAAAAGAAAAGAATAATTAAATTGATCAGGAAACCACCAGCCCCAGCACAAGATGACTATTTTATTATGGACAGATCAGAACAAGTCTTTATCCTCCGACTCAGAACAGGGCACAACCGATTACGTAATCACATGTACACAAAATCCAAGATAGGTGTATCAGCCATGTGCACCTGTGGAAAAGTGCCCCAGACAGCAAAGCATATACTCCAGGACTGCACCGAATTTGACACATTAAAGCAAACCTTTTGGCCAGAAAGAACAACAGTGGAGTGTACGACAGTGAAATTTATACAAGAGACAAAATTGCTGATATAGACAACTTATTTCAGGCGAACGAAAGAAGAAAAAGAAGAACTGAACAATCTCTTGTGTTTTGTGTCCATGTACACAGTTACATGCTGCTGATATTTCCTGAACAATCTCTTTTGTTTTGTTGTCCATGTACACAGTTACATGCCGCTGATATTTACTGAACAATCTCTTGTGTTTTGTGTCCATGTACACAGTTACATGCTGCTGATATTTCCTGAGCTGTCTCTTGTGTTTTGTGTCCATGTACACAGTTACACGCCGCTGATATTTCCTGAGCTGTCTCTTGTGTTTGTTGTCCATGTACACAGTTACATGCCGCTGATATTTACTGAGCTGTCTCTTGTGTTTTGTTGTCCATGTACACAGTTACATGCCGCTGATATTTACTGAGCTGTCTCTTGTGTTTTGTTGTCCATGTACACAGTTACATGCCGCTGATATTTACTGAACAATCTCTTGTGTTTTGTTGTCCATGTACACAGTTACATGCCGCTGATATTTTCTGAGCTGTCTCTTGTGTTTGTTGTCCATGTACACAGTTACATGCCGCTGATATTTCCTGAGCTGTCTCTTGTGTTTGTTGTCCATGTACACAGTTACATGCCGCTGATATTTCCTGAGCTGTCTCTTGTGTTTGTTGTCCATGTACACAGTTACATGCCGCTAATATTTCCTGAGCTGTCTCTTGTGTTTTGTGTCCATGTACACAGTTACATGCTGCTGATATTTCCTGAGCTGTCTCTTGTGTTTTGTGTCCATGTACACAGTTACACGCTGCTGATATTTCCTGAGCTGTCTCTTGTGTTTGTTGTCCATGTACACAGTTACATGCCGCTGATATTTCCTGAGCTGTCTCTTGTGTTTTGTGTCCATGTACACAGTTACATGCCGCTGATATTTTCTGAACTGTCTCTTATGTTTTGTGTCCATGTACACAGTTACATGCCGCTGATATTTTCTGAACTGTCTCTTATGTTTTGTGTCCATGTACACAGTTACATGCTGCTGCTATTTTCTGAACTGTCTCTTATGATGTTCTCTTGCATTGCTCCTACAGGCAGCTTCAGCAGTGAACAACTGCGCCACATGTCCTCCCACAGTCCAGTCCAGCTGTTAGAGATGGTCAAGTCTGTCATACCTCCTCTACATTATGAGATGCATAAAGGGCAGGCAGGCAGGCTGGCCATCATTGGAGGCTGTCAAGAGTAAGTCAGACAAAGAACTCTTGTATAAGGCTAGAGCATTTCATAGACCAGCTGGCACTTGCTGTGTGAGGTGGTCAGCATCCTGCTGGCCACCTTTGCTTCCCTGGACATTATCTGATACTCATTCAAGGCTGGGTCCGCCTAGGAGCCTATAAGGCTAGAGCATTTCATAGACCAGCTGGCACTTGCTGTGTGAGGTGGTCAGCATCCTGCTGGCCACCTTTGCTTCCCTGGACATTATCTGATACTCATTCAAGGCTGGGTCCGCCTAGGAGCCTATAAGGCTAGAGCATTTCATAGACCAGCTGGCACTTGCTGTGTGAAGTGGTCAGCATCCTGCTGGCCACCTTTGCTTCCCTGGACATTATCTGATACTCATTCAAGGCTGGGTCCGCCTAGGAGCCTATAAGGCTAGAGCATTTCATAGACCAGCTGGCACTTGCTGTGTGAGGTGGTCAGCATCCTGCTGGCCACCTTTGCTTCCCAGGACATTATCTGATACTCATTCAAGGCTGGGTCCGCCTAGGAGCCTATAAGGCTAGAGCATTTCATAGACCAGCTGGCACTTGCTGTGTGAGGTGGTCAGCATCCTGCTGGCCACCTTTGCTTCCCTGGACATTATCTGATACTCATTCAAGGCTGGGTCCGCCTAGGAGCCTATAAGGCTAGAGCATTTCATAGACCAGCTGGCACTTGCTGTGTGAGGTGGTCAGCATCCTGCTGGCCACCTTTGCTTCCCTGGACATTATCTGATACTCATTCAAGGCTGGGTCCCGCCTAGGAGCCTATAAGGCTAGAGCATTTCATAGACCAGCTGGCACTTGCTGTGTGAAGTGGTCAGCATCCTGCTGGCCACCTTTGCTTCCCTGGACATTATCTGATACTCATTCAAGGCTGGGTCCGCCTAGGAGCCTATAAGGCTAGAGCATTTCATAGACCAGCTGGCACTTGCTGTGTGAGGTGGTCAGCATCCTGCTGGCCACCTTTGCTTCCCAGGACATTATCTGATACTCATTCAAGGCTGGGTCCGCCTAGGAGCCTATAAGGCTAGAGCATTTCATAGACCAGCTGGCACTTGCTGTGTGAGGTGGTCAGCATCCTGCTGGCCACCTTTGCTTCCCAGGACATTATCTGATACTCATTCAAGGCTGGGTCCGCCCAGGAGCCAAGATCGTGTTTAAAGAAAAAACTCAAGCTCCATTTGGATTTGAACCCTTGACCTTTATGATCCGCAGGCCAGCGTGTAGCCACTACAAAATGGCTGCTTCCACTTAGTAAGTTAGTACATAAATATCATCATCATCATCATCATCAAGTGCCTTTGGCAGCGGATATAGGCGTTCATGTGTAGCTACAGATCTCAGTATTTGGTGCTGTGGATCAGTCCCACTGATGATATTAGTCCATGCAACTGTTCTAAGCCATCCGCCATCATTTCTCTTGGTCTGCATCAGCCTTTTCTGCCATATATGCCTACTGTGTGTGAGTGTGTGTGTGTGTCTATCTGCATGTGTCTGTCTGTGTGGGTCTGTGTGTTTCTGTCTGTGTGTACATGTGTGTATGTGTATGCATCTATGTCGAATGTATGTGTGTGTCTGTGTGTGTGTGTGTGTGTGTGTCTCTCTGTGTGCTTGTCTCTGTATGTCTCTGTGTGTTTGTCTCTGTATGTCTCTGTGTGTATGTCTACATCTGTGTCTGCGTGTGTGGTCTGTGTGTATGTCCGTCTGTGTGTGTGTGTATGTATGTCTGTGTGTGTTTGTCTTAATGTGTCTGCATGTTTGTATCTGTGAGTGTATGTGTGTGTACATATGTATGCCTGTGTCTGTCTGTCTGTCACTCTGTGTATGTATGTGTGTGTGTGTGCATGTTTGCCTGTCTGTCTCTCTCTCTCTCTGGGTGTGTGTGTGTGTGTGTGTATGTCTGTGTAAATGTGCTTGTCTGTGTGGGTGTGTACATATGTGTATGCATCTGTGCCTAGTGTCTGTATATATGTGCTTGTGTATTTCTAAGTGTGTATGTATCTGCATGTGTGTCTGCGAGTGTGGTATGACTGTCTGAGTATGTATGTGGGCTTGTGTGTCTGTGGTTGTGTCTTTATGTATGTTTGTGTGTCTAACTGTGTGTTTGTGTGTGTGTGTGTACATGCGTGCCTGCATGCCTGCTGGCGAGCGCACAGATGTATGTGAATGTGTATGTATGTAGGTGTATAAGTGAGTGAGTAAATGGGTGGAAGTGTGAATGTGTGTGCGCGCGCACGCGCACGCCCATGCATTTTACCACAAATGCTTTTGTGTTTTTTCTTGGTATTCATAACATACATATTACTATATGATGATAACATGCTTTATTAATCAAATACAACTGCTGTGTGAAAGGTGGGTGTTTGGAAGGGCCGAATATAAGATGGGACTGCGTGCCCAATTTGTATCCCAATGAAAATAAAGTTGGTTCATTCATTCTTTCATTTGTTCAATTGTTCAATCTTCTACCAGGGATCTTTCCAGCCCTCACAATATTTTCCAGTGCTCCTTTTCTCATCACATGGCCAAAGAACTTTGTCTCCTTCTCATTGTTGTATGGTAGTTTGGTAGTCTTAGTTTCAGCTTCATAGCAAACGGGTCACCCCAAACGTTACTCCACTCCTGTGCCAACGAAAAACACAAAATGTTAAATCACAATCCCTTGACAGACTCGCAGCATATCTAGCATACACACGCATTAAAAGCATACGGCAGCCATCCGAAGTGCCAAAACAAACAGTCCGACATTAGAACTGCAGTTCATCATTGATGGTAGCAGAAGTCACCAACAGATCAGCAGTTGCATACGCGATCAATTTTAATCAATAAGGGCACCACCAACATTGTGACAACATGCATCGTGCCATTTTCTGAATCTGAAATTCACACCACCACGTTGGTCAAATGAAATCTGCAGCTCACAGTGTCACACCATGCATTCAGCTCAGAAGCTGGGCGACGAAACTATATCCTTTCAGTCTACAAATGGAGCAAAAATGCAACGGCCACCGTCTGCCAGAAGCACGGATCCAAACAGTGCCTGTGCTTAGCGTCCATTTTGACCGGAAGTCCAAAAAATAATTGTTGTATATAATGTTCTACTTTCGTTAGCCATTTCTGGGCAATCATTGTTAGTTATTCTGTTAGTCCAAGGTATTCTCAACATTCTTCTCAAGAACTATATCTCAGTTGCCTCCAAACTTTTCCTAATGTGTTTGCTCACATCCCAAGATTCACTGCCATACAACAGAACAGGCTCGATGTAACATTTCAGTACACGTTTTCTAATGTTTAATGCGAGTGATTTATTACATTCAATACTTTTAATCTTCTTAAATGTTGCTTTCGCCTGGCCAATTCTGCTCTTAATTTTTGTCAAACATTGTCCGTCTGATGTTATAATGTCCCCAAATACTGAATTTATTGATTTAGTTAAGCACCTTTCCCTTCTATTGCTATGCCACATTTTGGAGTTTTCTTGATATTCAAGGAAGTCCCTTTTTTTGCACTCTCTAGGAGCACAGTGTCTACAGTTGTTGTAAGTCTTCTGCGTTTTCAGCTCTTAATAATGTATCATCAGCATAACGAAGAGTCAGCTGGAGAAATGAAGCGCATACAGAATGAAGCTTTGTGGGTGATCCTGGGATGTACAATAGACACCCAGATTGTGTGCATGCAATACATCCTTGCATTGCCGACTGTTGCAGATAGGCTAAAGGTGCTGCAGGCTAAGTCACACCTCAGAGTAGCTGCAAACAGTAAACACCCTCTGTATGAAGCTTTGGCTGCAGGTAAGGGTCAGAGGCTGAAAAGGAGGAAATTGTGGCTCAAGCAGAAGACACAATAGGACAAGTATGCATGCTGGAGAACACTGGGTGAGGAGAGGAGTGGGTCAGAGTACCAGCTCTCCGGTGGCTAGAAAACAAGATGCATACACATTTCATAATTGTAACAGAATTTGCCCCCGGGGTATCCACAGGAAAGGTGCCGTTATCAAAGAGGGAAGTCTAACATACGGAGGCAGTGAGATGCCTCTTTATGCAGACAGTCATAGTCTCAGATCTGCGCACTTTTTCCTTTGTATCCCTAAAGGGCGGAGAGCTCAATTTACAGATGTGAAGTTAAGCAGTCATATACAGGACTTGACGATTCCTTGGTTGAGTCCAGTACCTGGGCATCATGTATCGGTTCTGCATTTATGGGACCTTCCTTGGATGTTGATGAATACCCATACTCTGCCCCTGCCTTCCCTAGAGGGTCACCAATTTATACGCCTTGGACAAGGTCTTCTAGAGCCATTACGTGTGGATCAAGGGATGACAAAGTCACCACACAAATGAGGCTACAAATGTCCCTCAAAATAACCAGGAAAGTTAACCTGGATAATAAATGCAAGCATGCTCGTGGTTGAGGGTCCTTATTTCGGCATCAGCAACTGCATGGCTCCATTCTTCACAATACCTAGGCATGCTCTTGCATTCTTTCTGTTGTCTCCATCCTAAGCACTACAAGTGCAGACATAACTAGGTTTGGGGACAGGTAACTGCAACAGTAGAAGTTATGCAGCATTTATGGGAAATTGTAATGGATAATGATGATGATGATGATGATTACTAGCGACATTACTGTGACAAAAGGTTAATGTTTCCATCGTATTGCTCCTGTGAGTCATGATTAGATTGATTCAATTTGTGTTTTTTTTAATTATTCACTGAACTGACATACATTTGTTCCCCTCAGGTACACGGGAGCTCCTTACTTTGCTGCCATTTCAGCATTAAAAGTGGTAAGTATGCACGGATGAAACATTGTTATTTACCTGCTCCCTGCGGAACATAGGGATACAACAAGTGCTAGATTTTGATGTCTTTATTGACAGTGTTCATCATTTGTTTCTTATGTTAGGTTTATTCTTTCAGTCTTCTTCTTCTTCTGCTCTTTATTCTCCAGTAGAGTTTAGGTTGTCAACCAATTCACACCAGGTTGTCCTGTCTGCTGCCATGACATGCAACTAACCCCCTTGACCTTCCCATCTTTTTAACAACCCAAGCTTCTCCATGTTTTTTGTGTGGCCTTTATTTCTGTGGCTCTGTGGATTCCAGAGTTAAGGCATTCTAGTTATGTTGTTCTCAGGTTTTCTCAACTTGTGTCCTATCCAACAGTAGCATGTTTTCCCAACCTCTTGATTCACAAGAATTAGTTGTTCTCTCCCAAAGCTCCACATTACTGATTCTGTCACACCATTTAGTTGCCTCTATTCTAGGCAGGCAGCAGCTAATGAATGTTTGTTGTTCATTAGTAATTGTTTAGTTGTTCTCCACATTTCATACGTCACATGAACTCCTTCGGAACCATGCATAAATAAATGGTTTGCCCTCTTCGGGAAATTGCCTTGTAATGTTTTACCATGCAAGGCATACACCAAAATAGAAGAGGGTTGTAGAGCATGAGGTAGACAAAGAACAAGATGGAAAGGTAATATCTGAGAAATTCTACAACAGCACGATGTGTCTATGGTTCCGGCGGCTAGAAGAGTAAGAACCAGCAGCTTATATCTCTCTCGACACCCACAGCGCTAAAAAAAGGAAGCAAAGAAGAAGAAGAAGTACTGTACATGACATCTTGTGAGACTGGATATTATCCATAAAGCTGTAATGTAATTTATTACATCTTACATTTAATCAGAGACTGTCATCATTATCAGCATCAAGTGCCTTGCCCACTGGTGGGGGTGATCATGTTTCTCCAGTCTGCAACCTTCAGCAGCATGTATTGGTTCATGTATTGACACCTCTCCATGTCATGACAAGAGGCTGTCAAAAAATTGTTTCATGTTGTCTTTCTCTGTCTATTTTTTCACATATCTTTCAATTTCTAAATATAAATTTTTCACCCATTACTTATTTCTTTTCTTAATTTTGACCTGGTTGTTTAGAAGCTCTGTGGTCTTGTCTGTTAAGTTTTCCAGTCACGGTTTGTATTGTATTTAGTATTTCATTGATAAAGGCTTTGGTCGAAACATTTGGTTATATTTGTCCACATCTTTTCCATGCCCTCTATTGAATTTTTAACTTAAATTCAGTACTGTATTTAGCACTTTTTTTCCACATATTTAGTCTTGGGTCTGTTGCTCAGCTACTGATTTGACTAAAAACTAATAACGATGAGAATAAATGTCCTAATGGCTTATATACTTTCAGGGGGCTGACTTGTCACATGTCTTCTGCTCCTCTGATGCTGCCACAGTCATCAAGAGTTACAGTCCAGAGTTGATCGTCCACCCACTGTTGTAAGTTGATAATTTAGACCTAGACCTTTTAGTGTAGTAAGCTGGTCATTTAGTGTTAGTCCATTCAGGGTTGTAAGCTCATAATTTAGTGTTAGTCCATTCAGGGTTGTAAGCTCATAATTTAGTGTTAGTCCATTCAGGGTTGTAGGCTCATAATTTAGTGTTAGTCCACTCAGGGTTGTAAGCTCATAATTTAGTGTTAGTCCATTCAGGGTTGTAAGCTCATAATTTAGAGCTAGTCCATTCAGGGTTGTAAGCTCATAATTTAGTGTTAGTCCATTCAGGGTTGTAAGCTCATAATTTAGTGTTAGTCCATTCAGGGTTGTAAGCTCATAATTTAGTGTTAGTCCATTCAGGGTTGTAAGCTCATAATTTAGTGCTAGTCCATTCAGGGTTGTAAGCTCATAATTTAGTCTTAGTCCATTCAGGGTTGTAAGCTCATAATTTAGTCTTAGTCCATTCAGGGTTGTAAGCTCATAATTTAGTGTTAGTCCATTCAGGGTTGTAAGCTCATAATTTAGTGTTAGTCCATTCAGGGTTGTAAGCTCATAATTTAGTCTTAGTCCATTCAGGGTTGTAAGCTCATAATTTAGTCTTAGTCCATTCAGGGTTGTAAGCTCATAATTTAGTGTTAGTCCATTCAGGGTTGTAAGCTCATAATTTAGTGTTAGTCCATTCAGGGTTGTAAGCTCATAATTTAGTCTTAGTCCATTCAGGGTTGTAAGCTCATAATTTAGTCTTAGTCCATTCAGGGTTGTAATCTCATAATTTAGTCTTAGTCCATTCAGGGTTGTAAGCTCATAATTTAGTGCTAGTAGTCCACCTGCAGTAGTAATTCAGGGTTGTAAGCTCATAATTTAGTCTTAGTCCATTCAGGGTTGTAATCTCATAATTTAGTCTTAGTCCATTCAGGGTTGTAAGCTCATAATTTAGTCTTAGTCCATTCAGGGTTGTAAGCTCATAATTTAGTGCTAGTCCATTCAGGGTTGTAAGCTCATAATTTAGTCTTAGTCCATTCAGGGTTGTAAGCTCATAATTTAGTCTTAGTCCATTCAGGGTTGTAAGCTCATAATTTAGTGCTAGTCCATTCAGGGTTGTAAGCCCATAATTTAGTGCTAGTCCATTCAGGGTTGTAAGCCCATAATTTAGTGCTAGTAGTCCACCTGCAGTAGTAATTCAGTGTAAACTGGTTATTTAAATCATATTTTGGGTGAGAACTAAACCATTTCCAGTAAATTAAGAGGGGAGGAAAAGATGCTGGTTCTGAATAGACACACGTTGAGAACACCTGATAACAGACCATGGACGGTGGTAGATCTGATTTTACGTCCAGGCAGTTGCATCATCTACCCTTTCACTGTTGTTAACACTTTTAGTTCTAGAAGAATTCCAAGAATATGCACAACTGAATAATAACGGCAAAGTAATAAAATCAGCATATTAGTTTCAAAGTGGCAACACGTGGGTACTGTATATTAAAATATCTAGCCAGGTTTCCTTAGTATGTTTAGGCCAAATGTTAAAGAGATAATTATGCACTATCTGATGTTTGATACACATTAACAGTAGTTGATCACACATGGTACATTTCTTGAACAGAAAGAGTTGAAAGAAGCTCAAAGATGCTAATGTGTTGGGTGATGATACTGTAAACTTTGTCATTTATTATTTGGTCTCTGTATAATATACAAAGGGTCTTTCAAAAAGATCCTAATTCTGTTTTCTTTTCAAGTTAAGATATTAAGGGCCAGATTTCACATTCATAAGTAAAGGCACTGATAGCTAGTGCTCTTACCATCAATCAACTGGTTTTTTGCAGAACATTGCTCTCATCACAGCACGCCTGTAAGTTTCTCTTTCTCTTGCCATTTCTCCAGCCCTATGTGCTTTCATAGCCAATGCATCTTCAGTGTCCTGTATCCAGGTTAGCAGAGGTCTGCCTCTGCCATTTTTCCGGAAACTACCCTCAGTCATCCTTCCCTCCAAGCTGCTATGATGCTAGAGATTTCAGCAGTCATATTTGACATGAGATGTTTTCAGAGAGCCGTACCTTTTGAGGACTGATGTAGTCTGGGCATTGCTGATATATTACACAGCTTCAACTCTTTTGCAGGGACAGACAGAATGCCATAGATGAAATCTCCCAGTGGCTGCCCAGATTTCATTCCCTTGTGGTGGGCCCTGGCCTTGGACGAGATAGTCATTTACTGAAAACTGCAGCTGTGAGTTGTTTCAGCATGATTCCTTCAGTGCTAGTCAGTTATAGTGTAATCCATTCTGCCTTAATATTTACTTTACGAACCTCTTTCCCAATGTATGTAGTCTGTCTTTTTATTACTTTACTTCCTTTTTTCCCAACCCTGTCTCTCTTAGTTATTACTTTACTTTCCTCTTTCTCAGCCTATTCTGTTTAAAATATTACTTTATTTACCTTTTTTCCCAACCTTCATTGTCTTCAATATTTCTTTATCTTCTTTATTCCCAACCCAGTATGTCTCAAGTGTTACTTTACCTCGCTCTTCCTTACCCGTTCTGTTCAAATATTACTTTATCTACCTCTTTCCCAACCCACTTCTCAGATTGACTCTGTCTGTCTTAATTACTACTTTATCCTCATCTGTACCAGTTATTGATTTCATTATGTCTTAGTTACTTTGTATAGCTCTGTGGCTTAAAGGTTAGTGAAATAATTTCACAAAGCAGCACTGGACATTTATCAGGGTTTGATTCCTGTGGTGTGGTCTTGTGCCGCAGGGCCGCTACGATAACCGTAAAGGCCATCCTAGGTCACCACAAGACATCCTGGCCAATGGGGCTCTGGTGAAGTTGCAACAAGCCTAGCAAGCTGGCAGTGGATTACAGAGAATACAGTGAGGTATAAATGGACTTACAAGTTATTAACCATAGAAATGAGATGCCTGAGAAGGGCTGTTGAAGTGACCAGAAGAGGTGAAATCAGGAATGTGATCAGAAGAGAAAAAGTCAACACAAAACCAGTTCAAAATTACATACAGAGATAGTAAATCAAATGGTTTGCCCACTTAGAATGCCTTGTGATGCCATTTAATTCAAGGCATGCAACAAAAGAGGAGAAGAACGTGGAGCACAAGGTAGATCAAGAACAAGAGGGGAAGATAACAGCACAGAAACTCTACAACAGCACCATGTGGCTGGTCAAGGCAGCCAGAAAAGTAAGAAGTAGAGCATTTGATCTCCCTTGACACCCAGAGCTGTAAGAAGAAGTGAAGAAGAAGATTCCTGTGGTAAGCATTCTCATGGTTTTCGGAGTGTAGAAAGAGAGTCATACCGTAGAAGAATTTGGGTCGTCAGCCTATAATGTTCCTATAGTTAACAGTAGATACATTGCACCGAACCTCCATTGTAGAGACGGCACAGTTTGAAAAAAAAAGTAAAATCTTTATCTCCATCTGCTTTATTGGTTGGATTATTAAAGTCTTCTTATTTATTCCGTTACTTCCATTCTTTTTAGTTATTTCTATGCAGACTGTTAGTTCCTCGCCTCTCAGGCAGATGCATTCTAACTTAGGAAAAAGACTCCATAATTTGTCGCTTTGTACCACATGCTTGTTAGGGAAGTAGTGGGTCTATTCTTGCAAAATGAGACTCTAGAACCAACATGCAGAGTTTTGTACCAAGACCTAAGTGCAGAAGTGTACGAACAACCAGTACTTTCTGCTGAGGTCACAGTCGGTGAATGCTAAGAAGAAGATGATTCTGCCCTCAAGTGCATGGCACATGATGATGAGATGTTTTCCAGTAAATATTTCCCATTGATATCTTTCTTTAGTCTCTCATGAATGGGTGAATATCATGCTCACATTAATGAAGTTTCAAGTCAATGAAAACATATTTAATATTGGTTTTGATTTTTGTCTCTTCCCCAGGCGGTGATACAGAAAGCCCTGGTGCAGAAGTTACCGTTGGTGATTGATGCTGTAAGTGATGAGAGATTGTCAAGGACTTTTTTTATGCCATCAATGTATCGGGCATAGGATGCTAGACATATATCTGTATTTGGTTCTTTATCTTTTATTCACCCCAAATCCCAGAGTTTCCCTGGAAAGTCCAACATTAATATTATAGGGGTGTTAGGGTTAGTCAGTGTTCATTTCAAACAGTAACACCCCTATTATATTGGACTTTTGGGGCACTCCAGGATTCTCTGTATTTGGGGTGAATAATAAACAGTAAACAACCAAATATTTGTGAAGACCTACCAAATGGTTCATGGTGGCCTGGAGAGAATAGTGATGGAGGCGGCAGTTTTAGGAAAATGAGTCAGAGGAAGACTTCACTGAATGTGGATACAAGACATTGAAGATGCACTAGCTGTGATGAAAGCACATAGGGCTGGAAAATTAGCTAGGAAAAAAAAAAACACTTTCAGGCATGCCCTGAAGAGAACGACATTCTATAAAGGATCTATTTATGATGACAAACTAGTGGGTGATGTGGTTGACATGAGGATGGCTGTCTTTACTTCTTAGGGCATTTCCTGATATCTGCATGAGATGGGGCCAAACTGGAAGTAAGTCAAGGTCATTTTTTTCGTCTCAAATTTTCTGGGAGTGGATTTGAACCCAATACTTATGGACAGGTAGTCTATCATTTGGAAATGATTCTAAGACAGACCCAGCAAGCCATTAAAGGATTTAAGTGTTCAAACACAAATGCTTAAGATAAAAGAGAAAATCATAATTAAATCAGAGTAGTAACACTCAGGGCACATGATCTGGCCCAACAGTCAAAATAGCCACACTAAACATCTGTGGCTTAGGGGATTTAATAAAAAGACAATATAAAGGTCATGGGACTGTTGGATTGTGGAGAGGACAAAATACTAAACAAACAAGCTACACAACTATCAAAACTGTAATGCTGTATGGTATAAGCAGTGGGACAGAAGAAGAAGAAAGGTGACATCTAGCCACTATGTTGTGGCAGTAAAGTGATATAACTGTTAATTGTATATGGCCAGTTTCCAAACAACAGGATGCATTTCAAATTCTCTGTATGTCAACCAGTGGCAGAGTTTTCAGTTTCCTGTAAGTGGTCGATGAATCTTCTGTCCAGATTTCTGCATACTACTTCTTCTTCTTCTTCTTCTTAGTGATCCCCAGCTGTAAACTCTGGCATAAAATTCTGGTTGTTCATCCACTTCAGGATTTTGGTCTTTTTCCAGAACTTGAGTTTTACATGCACAACCCTTCCCCAGATCTGGCTTATTTGTATGCAGACTGTTAGTTCCTCACCTCTCATACAGATGTACTCCAGCTTGGAAGGAAACATCCCTAATTAGTTGTCTCCTATGACATGCTTGTTAGGGAGCAGTGGGTCTATTCGTCTTACCCCCCAAAACGGCCTCATGTAAGGCCACATGGCTAGTGTATTCACTGTGAACTGTGCAGGTTAGGATTTGTGTAAGCTCCCGATAGAAAACAATTTTAAGAGCCCAATGCCCTAACCATTCAGCCAGCTGCTTCTTTAGCTTTGTAACTACCCCTATATGTAATTAATCTTAACTCTTTAAGTCCCAGGGGGTTTATCTTCACAGGCCCAAGGGGTAGTTAAGAGAGTCATAAAATCGGCGCATCATGCGTTCATTGGGCTTCTAGGTAGGAACCTATGAATGTATAATGCGTTTCTTGGGACTCAAAGAGTTAAGGAATCAGTGTTGTAGTTTTCCCTTACCTTCCACATCCGCAGTAAATACAGTATAAATGTAGTCTCATGCCTGATTTTGTGCTGTCTACAGGATGGTTTGTTTCTTATCACTCAAGACCCCAGCTTGGTGCAAGGGCTCTCCAATGTCATTCTCACACCAAATGCTGCAGAGTTTGGACGGTTGTATCGAAAAGTTGTAAGTTTGCCTCCGTCATTTCTGTTGATGTGTCCCATAATTTCATTTGTCTTTAAACAAAATGGTTTTAATGATAGTTAAGTTTTTGATGTCTCTATAGATAAAGATATGATAAAGCAGAGATAAAGATATGATGAGGTATAGATAAAGATATGATAAGGCAGAGATAAAGATATGATAAGGCAGAGATAAAGATATGATAAGGCAAAGAAAGATATGATAAGGCATAGATAAAGATATGATAAGGCAGAGATGGTGAGGTGAAAAAATGGAATTAAGGAAGGAGAAGGAATTAAATTGTGTGAAACAAGCTAAACTGGCCAAGATTGCCGAACTATCCTCTTATTGTAGGGATATTGAGAAGGTGTCACATATACAAGCCACAAGACCCAGACTAGAGACTGGCTACGTCAGGATCTGAACCCATGGCCTTCTGATCCCCAGGCGAGCATCTGGCCACTGTACGACAACGTCTGCCTTGAGTGTACATGTACATGCATATGTATGTGTGTCAGCAAACGTGTACATGGACTCTCACTTGGGCATTTGTGCATGTGTGTATATTTTCATGTGTGTGTATGCAAAAACGCATGCGTACATTCACACATGGTTCTGCAGACATGTATGTTATATATGTGTGTGTGTGTGTGTATATAAATAAATAGACATGTTTTTGTGTAATTGTACAAGTATGTCTTTACATGTGTGTATGGTTGTGTTTAGTGCATGCCGGTCCCCTCCCCCACAGGCCCCTCCCAAGGTGCTAGAGTGCCCATCCAAGCCACTAATTTTGGTGCAGTTGACATTTCTTAGCCAACATAATTGGCACAAAGAAACCAGACCACAATTATAACAGATACTGCTCTCAGTAGGTTGAACATGATGGATTTTTTGTTTTGTTTTACATAAATGGATTGATGGAAGTTTTGATGACCTGGTTCAAATGTCTGTCAACCTAAATTCCTGCTAAACCGTTGCCTAGGTTCAGATGTCAGTCAGTTGGTGTACAGGGTGTCATTATCAGCGGAGCAGCCATCTCACTGAGACTCAGTCCTAGACCAAATTTGTTTGCAGCTTACACAAGCAACATCTCCTGCCTGTGGCATCTCGCAATTCAGTCCTAAGGCAGCAAAGTAGTTTTTGTTTTTTTTAAAGATGTGGTTTGAACAACGGATCAACATCATGGCACACTGGTAGTAACCCATAAGTGCTTCGTTCTTTATCTAACTCAAGTCTGAGTCCGAGAAAGCTCAGCACAGGCTCTGTAGCACTGGCGAGGATCCTCAAATACTTTGGGTAGATTTTTTACTTCAAATGTTTGCCGGGCAGCGCCGTTAGGCTACTCTTTTTGATTTCTAACTGCCAAAGGATTTTTTTTTTTAGCGTGCACAACAATGCACACGGGCGTCTAATCTCACTACACAGAGACCAGGGGGAATTACTAGAAGTCCAAATTCACATGAAAAAAATTACATCCCTTACCAGGGATTAAACCTTGAACCTCTAGCACTCGAGGCAGACACTATGCCTCAAGACCAAGCTGCCCCTGCCTTTGTTTTTTTTTTTTTTTAGATTTGTGAACATCAGATATCTTATTATGAAACAGACATGGTTCAGAAGTCTGCCTGTCAGATATCCTACTGACTGACAGACAAGGTTAAAATTTTTGCTGCCATTGGCCCAATTCTCAGGAACAGGAAGTGCTGAAACAGCAGCTGTCTGGAGCAGAAATAGTTATAGCTTAAAAATATACAGCAACGTTTTTATGTCTGGTTGTAATATTTCCAGTTTGACCGTGAACCTGACCCCACTGAACCAATCATCAGTGTCAAGGAACTCTGCAGGAAACTAGGTCATGTGACCATCGTACACAAAGGCCTCCATGACATCATTTCTGATGGAGAGCAAGGTATGGGTGTGACGTTTCATATTTCAGTGATGCTATCTCTTAATAGGCAAATGTTAACAATTTTAACATTTTGTTAATTTAATTAATTATTTCGTTTAGTAACTTGTGTTAATCACCACTTATTACTGCCATGATGAGGATGATAGACTTTCGTTTATGGTGGAACAGAGAGAGAATGGAAAAGACAAAGAAAGAATTGCATGGGAGTAGACCATGAGGCGGACCAAGAAAACAGTATACAAATAACATACAGGCAAACCTACAAACACTTGTAGTCTTCTTTTTCTAGCTAGATCAGTAAAATAGATGTGCACGCCAAGTTTCAGTTTTGGAACAAGACCAAAGTAGAGAAGTAGGCGAACAAGCAGAGCTTTCTGCTGAGGGTCTCCAGCCCGTGAGTGTGAAGAAGAAGAATAATCCACATTAGTATTGATTTTTGTAATTCACCTGGTTTCCCAGTTCACTGCAGCTCAAAATAGTTACCAGACAGTGTTCTGGGAACTGAATGTGGCTTGTAAGGTTTATCCACATCAGCTATTGAGTGTAGCAAATTCTTCCTCTTCTTCACTTCTTCTTTTACTGCTTTGTATGTTGCCGAAGTTATAAGGTTCTGCTTATTGCTTTTCTGGCTGCCTCAACTATAGACACATTGTGCTCTTGTAGAGTTTCTTTGATATTTCCATCAAGTTCTTGGTCTAATTTCTGCTCCATAGTCCTTTTATAGTAACATGTGCAAATGCTATTTAATCAGTCCATTTATATCTCAATGTATTTTCTGTAGCCATAATAAATCCACTGTCAGCTTGCTAGCCTGTCACAACTTGCAGTACTTTATACTACCATGCATGTCTTAAGAGGCAGCATAAGGGAAGGTTAGGCTTGAGGTTGGCTACCCTGTCCCATGGAAATCTTCACTTACAAAAGGTAAGAGTGTCTGGTAGGGGCGGGTTAATTGGGGGGGGGGGGGGGTGTGCTCTCTTGAGCGATAAAAGGCAGAAGAAGAAAAAAAAGAAGAGGAAGAAAAAGAAGAAGGAGAAGAAGAAGAAGAAGAGGAGGAGGAAGAAGAAGAAGGCAGGAGGAATGAATAAACAATAATATTTGAACTTGCTAAGTGTTATTTCTAATTGTTGGATTTCAGTTCTAGTCTGCTCAGAACAAGGCAGTCCCAGACGATGCGGAGGACAGGGTGACCTTCTATCTGGGTCAATGGGGGTCTTTGCTTTCTGGTCCACGGTGTCTCACCAGAAAGTAGAAGAAGGGTGAGTTTAGTTAGTGTATCAACAGTCTTTCTTTTTGATATAATAGTAATCATGTTATGCTGTAGTGTTCATTTTGTGGTCTTGTCTGTTGGACTTGTGTTCTCAGCACTCTTCTTTATGGTAGTAAAACTTTGTCAGCTTATTCACACTAGGAGAAATTGCTAAACAGCTTTTGCATGCAGTGCCTTGGAAGAATACTTGGCAATAAGTGGCATTATAAGATTACAAACATTGAGGTATTGGAAATAGTAGTTTTCTCAATGCTTAGTCTTCGAGGGCTCTGGTGGCTTGGTCACACTTGTAGAATAGGGGGTGGCAGAATCCCTAAGGATATCTTCTGTAGTGAATTACAGATGAGTAGAAAATGCCGCCCTCTGCAGTGATATGTAGGACATGAATTGATAGTTATTGAGGTAGATTCATGGGAACAAAATATCATGGGCTCTGTTGGACCATGGTTCATGGAAGGGGGGGGGGGGGATCAGGAAGGGAAGGGGATTAAAGGGGAAAAATATTATTGCAGGAATGTTGGGAGCTGAGCATTTGAAGAAGCATGGCACTTAATACAAATGATGGCAACAACGGTCTGGAAATACCATGTTTTGATTATGAAAGACTTTTCTTGAGGGAAGGGGGGGATGGGGGGCTAGTCACACTGACGATCACCATGGGCTGTGAGTCCTATGCTTCCCCCATAGCAAAGTATAACACACTGTCATCTGGAAAAGTGGAAACGTGCCAACAGTTGTGTTTGTTCACATCTGTCATGTTAATTTTAAGTTATAGCGTTCATTTTACAGTCTAGTGTTCATTTTATGCTATCATGGTCGTTTTGTCACTTTCATTGAGTCAGTGGCTATAGTGTTTATTTGAAGTTATACTGTTCATTTTGAGCAATAATGCTCATTTTATGCTGTAGTGTTCATTTTAAGCTAAAGTTTTTTATTTTATGGTGTAATGTTCTTGTGTTACCTTTCCTTTGGAGTAAACAAGGCAGGTCGAGGCAGGGATCATGATGCATGGGCAAAATATGGTCTCTACAATACTGCCCAGGATTTGTGCTGTGGTCTTGCTAGTCCCACTCGCCTTTGCCATGGGCTTAAGTCCCATGCTTCCTCATAGCTCAATATAACACTATCGTCTGGAAAGACGGAAAGGTGCCAATCAATCAATCAGTGTTCATTTTATGCCATAGCACTCATTTTAAGCTATAGTGTTTGTTTTATGATATTTCATTCATTTTATGCTATAGTGTTCATTTTGGGCTATAGTGTTCATTTTAAGCTATAGTGTTCATTTTAAGCTATAGTGTTCATTTTAAGCTATAGTGTTTGTTTTATGCTATAGTGTGTATTTTATGGTATTATGTTCATTTTATGGTATGATGTCCACTTTAGGCTATAGTGTTCATTTTAAGCTATAGTGTTTGTTTTATGCTATAGTGTGTATTTTGTGGTATTATGTTCATTTTAAGATATGATGTCCACTTTAAGCTATAGTGTTCATTTTATTAAAAAATGTCATTTTATACTATAGTGTTCATTTTAAACTGTAGTGTTCATTTGTTATGCTAGTGTACATTATTTTCTGTAGATTTTAATTTGTATCCTGTAATGTTTGTTTTTATATGATAGTGTTCATTTTATGCTATAATTTTCATTTTACATTATAGTCTCCATTTTATACTATAGTGTTATTCAAGCAGGGATGGTGGCATAGTTGTTAATACACTTGCCTTTGGAGACAGATCCAGGTTTGGAAATGACAGCAGTTTCTTTTTGGTCAGTACGCTCTGGGCTTAGCTCAGCTTCACACCGAATGAGTACCAGAAACTTGTCATTGGAAGTAACGGTGTTGAAAGAGGGAGCTGCCCCACCCCTTTCCACCTAACATACCCTGTCATTAAGAATGTGCCAGTGACCTGTCATTAAGAATGTGCCAGTGACCTGTCATTAAGAATATGTCAGTGACCTGCCATTAATTTGTCAGTAACCTATCATTAAGGAATGTGTCAGTGACCTGTCATTAAGAATGCATCAGTGACCTGTCATTAAGAATGTGTCAGTGACTTGTCAGGATGTGTCTGTGACTTGTTAAAAAAATGTGTCAGTCTCTGTCATTAAGATTTCAGTGAGGTATTGTTAAGTCAGTGGGGAGATAATAATGCCTTGACTTGCTTTCAGCTCTCTGTTGAAGATCTATGGCCCAGGGATATGTGCTGCCTATGCTGCTTGTGCGTTGACTCGGATCTGCAGCAGACGAGCTTTTGAGGTCCATGGTCGGTCGATGACAACAACTGATCTCATCTCACAGATCCAGGAGTCTTTTGAATATTTGTTTACATAAGGTCATTTCTAGATTAGTTTTTTTATTATGTTTCTTAAGCTGTAATTAGTTTTGTCGAAAGGATTGCACCAGATGGAAAAGAATGGGGAAATAGATTTTGATCTCTTTATGACATGATGATGATAATGATGATGATGATGATAATGATGATGCCAGTATTATCGAAAGGGCTGAACAGGATATAGACTGGATTCAGAGGAATAGACCACAAGCCCTATATAATGTAACATATAATGGCACAGAATGATGAGGATTATGTTGTAAGCGGTTTAACGTATGGTTGTCAATCTCTGACAGTTAATTCATCTTCTATATTTGCCTTTAAAAGGTTGTATGCACATTGAAGACTGGTTTACAGCTAGGATGTGGTATATGTATCTTTCAACTCAACACTTGCAGTTTAAAAAGATGGGGCTTTATTAATATTCTACCCCCCAGATGACGTCACAAGACAGTCCAATATTTTAGAGAGTGGTAAGGCTGGATTTTCTGGCTTACTGATGCTTTTAATGACCCCAAAACATCTAGAACTGGCCCTAACCCCAACTCACCTACGTCCCATTAGAGAATGCGGCCTAGGTCCCATGACTGCATGCAGCCTAGGTCCGATGACTGAATACAGCCTATCTACCACCCCCCTGAAATATTAGATTGTCCCGTGACCTGTGAATTTCCCCTGTTTGGGGTAGGATATTAATAAAGCACCAAAAAGATGCTAATAAGATGCCTTTTATGGGGCTAGACTTGTAGGTAAGGTGACAAAGACAGCATAACACAAAAAAGGTGACATGTTTTTGTCTCACGGAACTACTCGCAAAGTTAAACCAGTCAGCAAATGCTCAATGAAGTCAGATGTGTCGACCGAATGTCGCAGATATCACAGCTCTGCTGTAAACATACACAATACATTTGCGTCACTTGGACGAACAAAAAAAAAGAAGATGCCTGTTATGACATGCTTGTTGAGAGGCAGTGGGGTTATTAATTGTCCCCTAAAAAAGGGTTAATAACTATTTTGCGTTTTGAATGCTTTAAAAGGAGGTCATGAACCCTTAGGAATTTTTGGAAAAAATCTTTAAAATACAACAACCATATTACACAGGTCACTCATAATTTTTTGTAAATGTATTTTATCTACATTAAATGTTTTTGGTGTTTATGTGTGTCTGTAAAATATATGAAGATAAATGAAGGGATAATCGATAAACATGAACAGAGTGAAGCCTTAATTGGAAAATATTCCCTAGGGCTTTAAAAAAAAAAATTATAGTGGCTGACCCATACTGTGACTGTGTGACCTCCATCAGTGAGACTTGCGGGAAAATTTGAGAACAACTTGACTGTAAAAAAGCCATTGGGGTCGCAAGGAACCCCATTAAATCCTTTTTTCTCACTACAATATGTCATAAACTGTTCATTATATGGCAGAATTTTAGTACATTGCCTGGAGACCCCTAGATTTCCTTCAGTGTGCTTTTGTGTTTTTTACTCGATATTCATATTATGTATATTGTTGTATGAACATAACATGCTTTATTGATTAAAAATAATTTCTGTCTGAAAGTTAAGTGTTTGGAAGGGCAGAATGTAAGATAGGCCTGCATGCCCAATTTGTGACTTTTAAAAATAAAGGTTGTTTGTTTCGTTCCTTTAAAACGTTGATCTATTGGAGAAGAGAAAAGTTACTACGAACGAATGAACGCGATCTTCCCCCCTCACTCAGGTGAGATACAGCCGATGAAGATGATGATATGAGTTGTTGTTGTGAAGGGCTTTGGTGTTGTCAGAGTATTTTGAAAGAACAGAGTATACATACCTTTCTGCACTGTTATAAATTAAGATAGTCTTTAAAAATATTTTTCATAATAATTTTAAGTGAAGAAAAAATCTTGTCATATTATCATGTACTGTGTAATTCATGACATAATTTATGCAAGCAGTTGATGGTATAAATAAACTGATAATGATACTGTGTGGCACAGGATGAATGAACATTAACTATAGATGGCCTTACCAAGTGAGTATAGTCCCGGTAGCACAGTGATTTTAGTCACAGGCGTGAGAGAAAGTTAGGGCTGTTGTGATGTATATAAGGAGATATTCCGTACCATGCCTGGGGTGCCAGCAGGCTCGAGCTAGTTTAACGGATTCTCATGCAAGACTCCTGCTACATGTCCTCGTTGTGCACTACAGAGCTGGCAGGGGATCTGGCAGTTAGTGGCTCCCAGAGATGCAGTGCCCAGAAACCATCTGGCTCTCATCAGCCCATCCCTAATACATCAGTGATAACGTACATCAAAACTCATTTGGTACATAAGCAAAAAAACTGCTGGCTGAATATCCTTATATATGACTAACCTTGGTTCAAATTCCTGTTTACTGAAAAGTCCTGCCAAATCTGCTGATTAGGCTTTAAATGTTGTGTTGAAAACAGCCAAACAGGCAACTCAGTGTGAACTGTTGACCATGAGATTTGTTCACAGTTTAGATAAGCAACATCTCCTGTGGGCAGTATCTCATGGTCTGTCCTGCAGCAAAACAGCAAAGTTTTAGATGCCCGACTATTGAATATCTTACTGTGTGATAGGTCAGATTCATAAGTCAGACCATCAAATGTCCCCATTGTGTGAAGACACGCTTCAAATGTCTGCTACTGTTGGTCTCACCCGTCAGAGTGTCAGGACCAAACTTTGAAGCCTTGCCTGCTGTATGCTTTTTCTATACTGTCATGCTATATATCCTGATGCAAAAGCATTAAAGGTGTCTAACGTGCTGAAGAAGATTGTACCTTATTTGTGTGCTGATCAAAGTCCTGGAACCTGTGTGCTCTACTTGATCTTCAAAGGCTGCAGCCTATGATGAGTGGGGAAACTCAATATATGGATGTGAAGTTGAGCAGTCATGTGCAAGATGTGACAGTTCCTAGAGTAAGACAAGGACCAGAGTGTCATGTGTCGGCACATAATTTATGGAAGCCACCTTGTATGATAGGTAATGCCCATCATGTGCCCCTGTCTCCCTTGATGGTTAACCAGACTTCATGTGGTTGCCCAGAATTGGTTCTCCAGAGGCGACAACTGTAGATAAGAGGACAAATGGAATGCTACATAAAAAAGGCTATGTCATGTCTTACAATACTATCCAGGAAGTTAACCCTGTCAACAAATGCTTGATCAAGTGTTGGCCAAAAGGTGTTAAGAAAGCCAGCAATCCTAATGCAAAAAAGAAAAAAAAAAAGAAAAGAAAATCCACAGTTATAACCAAAAGCTTCTTTGGAGCTGGCTTTGAATCAGAGCTTCACTGGAGCTGGTTGAACGTGGATACTTTTTGTTTCTTCCTGAATCAGTCAATCATCTGATGGCATCGGCCACGGATTGCCTATTTTCTCTCTGGTAAACAACCGTCGCTGGTCAGGACAGCATGTGGGTCTCTCTGGAGATCACATCAACACTGCAAAGAGTCCTTTTCAGGGCTACTTGTTGGCAAGCAGTGCTAAACCATTTTATATGGCACACATAACCATAGTCATAATTATAACCTAAAGCTACCACTTTGGGGGTGCTGGGTTGAACTTGACGTTTTTTTTTTGGAGTTATGCAAAGCAGCCTTGAGGGCGGACCATTCTGCAAATGATTGCCCTGGACAATTTCTCCAGGGTCAACACCTGTTGATGAGGAGACATGGAGAACACCACACAGATAAGGCTATGTCCTGTCCCCAAAAACTGGGAAGTTAACCCAGTCAACAAATGCTCAGTAAAGTCAAAAAAGTGAAAAAAAATTGCAGCTCTGATGTAAACAGGCACAATGCAATTACATCACTCAGACTATTGAAAAGAAGAAGACAGGGCAGATTTGAACCTGAGACCTTCGGGCTGCCTGATGAGCATCTACACAGTAAGCTATCACAGTTCCTGGTTTGATGCACACTTCTGAAAAAATGTAACCTTATAGTTAACTGTGTGGTTGAATAAATGTAACCTCATAGTTAACTGTTTGATTGAATAAATGTAGTCTTAAAGTTAACTGTGTTGTTGAGTAAATGTAGTCTTATAGTTAACTGTGTGGTTGAATAAATGTAGTCTTATAGTTAACTGTTTAGTTGAATAAATGTAGTCTTATAGTTAACTGTTTAGTTGAATAAATGTAGTCTTATAGTTAACTGTTTAGTTGAATAAATGTAGTCTTATAGTTAACTGTGTGGTTGAATAAATGTAGTCTTATAGTTAACTGTTTAGTTGAATAAATGTAGTCTTATAGTTAACTGTTTAGTTGAATAAATGTAGTCTTTTAGTTAACTGTTTTGAATAAATGTAGTTGAATAAATGTAGTTGTTTAAATAAATGTAGTCTTATAGTTAACTGTTTAGTTAAATAAATGTAGTTTTATAGTTAACTGTGTAGTTGAATAAATGTAGTTTTATAGTTAACTGTGTGGTTGAATAAAGGTAGTCTTATAGTTAACTGTTTAGTTGAATAAAGGTAGTCTTATAGTTAACTGTTTAGTTGAATAAATGTAGTCTTATAGTTAACTGTGTGGTTGAATAAATGTAGTTTTATAGTTAACTGTGTGGTTGAATAAATGTAGTCTTATAGTTAACTGTTTAGTTGAATAAATGTAGTCTTATAGTTAACTGTGTGGTTGAATAAATGTAGTCTTATAGTTAATTGTGTGGTTGAATAAATGTAGTCTTATAGTTAAATGTTTAGTTGAATAAATGTAGTCTTATAGTTAACTGTTTAGTTGAATAAATGTAGTCTTATAGTTAACTGTTTAGTTGAATAAATGTAGTCTTATAGTTAAATGTTTAGTTGAATAAATGTAGTCTTATAGTTAACTGTGTTGTTAAAAAAATGTAGTCTTATAGTTAACTGTGTAGTTGAATAAATGTAGTCTTATAGTTAACTGTTTAGTTGAATAAATGTAGTCTTATAGTTAACTGTTTAGTTGAATAAATGTAGCCTTATAGTTAACTGTGTGGTTGAATAAATGTTGTCTCAT